TGTAACCTCTTGATATTTTACTTCTTCTGATTTTAAAAAATATCTTGGCTACCTTTGTCATTTAGTCTTCTCTACTATATATGCTATGTGTTACGTTAATAGGATGTCAGAAGATATTCGCGCTTACATAACATTGCAACACTTTGATGTATTTTTTGTGAAACATTGTTGTTTCGCTTTTAAAATGTATTTATAGTCTTTTGCGCTTTCCTTAGAGTGCAGATCCTACGACAGTGTACCAAGTCTACAAAATTCGTTAGAAGAAGGATGCCGTTATACATCTAACTTTGATGGTCGCATAAAAGCGGAACCAAAAGAGTTTCCTTTCATGGCGTTAATATATAGTAAAAAAGAAGACTTGATTGATAGAATTTGTGGTGGCACCTTGATTAGCAAAAAATATGTTTTAACATCGGCTTCCACATTCCGCAACAAGGAGTGAGTTTATCCTACGACAGATTTATTGAACGTTTTTACATAACCAACTTCTTCTTTTTCATTCGTAAGTCATCTCGCTAACTGGGTGCGATTGGGAGATTTGGATCATGATATCTATACGGATGATGCTTTGACGCAAGATATTAAAACCAAAAACTATATACCCCATCCTCAATATTACTTTAGCAAGCAGACCTTCTACCATGACATTGCTTTGATTGAGTTGGCAACAGAGGCGGTCTTTAACGATTACGTACGTCCTGCGTGTCTATCTCTAATAGATGGTAATGATTTTCGAGAATTTCTATCTGCCGGCTGGGGCTTTGATCCATCGGAGCCTTCAACCCATTTACATAAAGTGAGATTAGATCGTCTCGATGATGACAAATGTTTTGAAACCATCAAACGCGATCCTTCAGAAAAAGGTATTAGCAATCATACCAACATGTGTATGATTCCTTCTACTGGCGGTAGGGGTACTTGCAATGGAGATGGCGGCGGTCCGCTTTTTCTTAATCATCCCGACTTTCCCTGCCAATTTGTCGTAGTAGGTATTTTGTCATACGGTCAAAGCGTATGCGGAGCTAGAGACTATCCTTCTGTTTTCACCAGAATCAAACCGTATATCGATTGGATACAACGTATCGTTTGGGATTAAATTAAAAAAAAAAAGAATTTAATAAATCTCTAACACATAAATAATAATGAAATGCATTTTTTTAAACAATACCCCATTATATAAGTAAGGAGAAATTTATTCGATGAAGTTTGTTTTATTGTTTTATTTTAAAATTTTGTCGAACCGAAAGTGTGACTTGTTTCTGTACCTTTGGCAATTTCTTGATATAAAGGATTTTACGGTGTGCTTACTTCGGCTTTTATATCATTTGAAAAGTCACTGAAGCTAAAAAAAATTAACAATAAAATGTAAATTGAAAAACAGTTTTCTTTTGAAAAATGTATACTTGTGTACGTGTAATTTCATTTATTTCATTAGGCTACAATTTAAGTATCACCCCTTAATAAGTACTTATGGGCAAACTACAATTCCAGATATTATAGATTATTATTTGTTAATTCAATATCTTACACCATAGCACTTGACTGTACTGTAAACATGTAGGTTGATGAACTCTAACTTACTCGACAATAAGCAAAGTAGAGAAGGATGGGTAGGGAAAATTACAAATCATGGTTACAAACCTTGTGAGCAATAAGTAAAACTAGAGGTGCATAGCTAACCATTGACGAAAATATTAGAGCACATTATATGGGGACGCCAGAGAAGGGACTGAATCTTGGAAAATGAATCTGACAAAGGGATTAAGTGATTGTTCTTTTCTAAAAATTATCGCTTCAGTAGATTAGACAACGCAATAGGTTTAAGTGGTGATCAAAATCTTCTACGTATTTTAGTTAGTTTACTGCTCTCAGTGTGAGCACAGTATACACTGCATACTCAAATCGTATACGCGCATAAAATCTATCTTCTTTTTATACCCTACACCATTTGGGGTGTCGCCAGAAGGACTTAAGATGGTCTCGCCTTTTGTTATACGAATCGATTCAGAATCGTTTACTGGAAGAGTCTAAGCTTGTCTGTCCATCTGTGTTCGTGTCTTCAGCCTACTGGTCGAAATTTTTGATGAAATTTGGTACATTGGCGGGTTTTGATCCAAGGACGCAGGCTACAGAAAATGGTTTGGATCGGTCCTCTTTTCGACTACACCCCATATAACACCTTATTTTGATAACATTGTCGCTTTCAAATTTTTCATACCAATTTAAAATATCGAACTAATATCTCTCAGCGACCTTTGTCGAAAAATCTTCAAAGGGGATTTTCAAAGGGCTCTCGATATAACACACATTTTTTCGGCTATTTTAAGCCGTTCTCAACGTTACGTACGTCCGCAGATGCTCAATATACCATGCTACCCAAGTGGTGTAAGGTATACTTTTCCGCCCTAGAAGCATTCACTTTTCATGAAATACGATTAAGTGAAACAATAAGCGTAGATAGATACAAATTTGATAGAGTTGAATAGTTTTATATCTGATAAACCAACTCTTCTCGTGTAGTATCAAAAATTGGAAGTTTTTCCCCATAAAGGCTTACTTTTATTCAGACTTTTATATAACGTGGGATCCAAAAAATATTTCTCCGTGGTCCGATTCGCAAACCTTTTGCGGTATGCTGGATATGCAATATAAACAAATCTTTTCATTCTCCACCGGATTAGTAATGTCTTCACACACGTCGGCAGGCAAGAGACCAACCCTCGATAGGTTTAGCTGATCAGATTACAGGGAAATTTTGTTTTGTTTAAAACTAAATAATCACTCCCCCAGCTCCAACTTAAAGTTGTTTAAGTTGTTTAAGAGATAAGACGGGCAAAATTAGAAGCTTAACTTAACACTAGAAAGACTGAATCAAAACCAGTCAAAATGCAAGATTGTATTACACATACATTTACAAGCAATAAAGAGGAAGGGGATGCAAATAGAACGAGTAATAAACGCATTTATATCAGGTATACAAAGGCACAAAATCTTAAGCAATCGTACCATAACAAATATTATTGTTTTCAAATTCAAATTAAGAAGAAGTAAAAATGACTTCTGTGGGCAATCTAGTGTTAACTACACATAAGAGAAACGATAAATACAATCGTTTTAATCAATCAGTTAGTTCCAGCTCTTAATCGGATTCATAAGTTCTAAGTACGAAACGGACGTTAGAAAGTAAAACGCCAATCGTCGGGTTAACAATGAAATTCATTTTTAGTACATGGATGCTATGTGTAATGACGACTATGGTTGTAAATGGTACGCATATGAAACGAGAAAGAAAAAGTCTTTCACTTTTTAAAAGAAAATAAATTGCATACCATATAATGTTGTTGTTAGTTTCTCTTTCACACCAAGCTAATGAATGTGCTTCTAACAGTGAATGCTTACCCATCGCCGATTGTCCCCTTATCCGAGATAATTTTAATTTAATCAAAAGGAAACCCTACTGCAATTTGGATCATCCCGGTGCACACGTATGCTGTAGAAGATCATCACAAAATTACACGGAACCGAAATATGTTGATTTCCGCGTTGTAAGAGGTATAGTAATTTATTTGTTTGTTCACGCTTTTCAATATTTCGCAGGGTAAGTAAAATGGGTAGATTAGCTCTACAAATCTAGCCTCAGTACCGTCCATGAGTAGCAAAGCTCATGTCTGTCTCTCCATTCCCCTGCGTGCAGACCTTACGATTATAAGCTCGACATTTATTCTGGGAAAATCAATTTGACTTTTTTCTTAATCAAAGATCAAATTGAGAAAGAGAATTGAAAATCAAAGAGAATTTCCTCGATCAACCGTATTATGTGAAAGAGCAAGTACACCGCTAAATAATCGAGCTTCCACCACTGTTGTTGATAACAATAACTTCAAAGACTCTCATGTATTGTTTATGAAACATTTTTACTTCACTTTTGAGATGTATTTGTTGTCTCTTACATTTTGCTCAGAGTGCAGATCCTACGACGATATACCAAGTCTTCAAAATCCAATAGGAGCAGGATGTAATTATACATCTGGCTTTGTTGGTCGCGTAAAAGCGGAATCTAAAGAGTTTCCTTTTGTGGCAGTAATATATAACAAAAGAAGAGAGACAGGTGGCCGGCTTTGTAGCGGTGCATTGATTAGCAAAAAATATGTTTTAACATCTGCTTACTGTTTCCTCGCCAGCCGGTAAGTTGATCGTACAATAGATTTATGGAACGATTTTATATAGCAAACTGCTTCCTTTACATTCCTAAGTCCTGCGCTAAGCTGGGTGCGTTTAGGTGACTTGGATTATACTACTAATACGGATGATGCTTTGCCGCAAGATATTCAAGTCAAAAATTTTATACCTCACCGTCATTATAACTCCACAAGACTAATTAAATACCATGATATTGCGTTGATTGAAATGGCAAACGAGGCCATATTAAACGATTACGTACGTCCTGCATGTCTGTCTCTACTGGACGGCAACGATTTTCAACAATTTCTGACTGCCGGCTGGGGCTATCCCTCGTCAGAACCGTCATCCCATTTACATAAAGCGAAATTAAATCGTCTCGATGATGACATATGTTTTGGAAAACTCAGACGCCATCATTTGGAAAGAGGAATTAACAATCGTACAAATATCTGTGCGAACGGTGCTTGTGGCGGGGGCGGCGGTAGTCCACTGTTTGTTAATCATCCCGACTTTCCCTGTCAATTCCTTATAGTAGGTATTGGGTCATTCAGTCAAGATGCTTGCAGCAGCTCAGGTAATCCAACTGTTTACACCAGAATCAAATTATATATCGATTGGATACAACGCATCGTTTGGGATTAAATTTAAAAAAAAAAAAATTATTTGTACACATCCCTTGAAATGCATTTTTGTAACTGAACACAATTGTATATATATGTTGCCCACTTGATCGATAAATTTTCTTGTGTTTTACTTTGGAATTTCATCAAAAGGAAATTACGACGTTTCCTATATGCGTATATAAATCACATCATAATTCTTAGTCAGACAATTTTTTTTCCTTTTTTTAATTGCATTTAAGTTACATTGCTTTATATGTTTTATATAAATTCTAAATGATCGGATTAACTACGGGGAAATTTTCTTGGGCTTAAAAGTAATCAATTGCTCTCAGATTTCCAACCACAAATTGTTTAAGAGATAAATCGTGCCAAGCTAAGAGCTTAACTTAACTGAACCTACTAGATGCGATATAAACAATTGTTTTAATTAATCAGTTAGTTTCAGTCCCCCACCGGACTCACCAGTATTAAACACGAAGCGGACGTTGGGAAGTAAAAATCGAATTGTCGAGATTAGCAATGAAGTTAATCTTTAGTCCATGGATGCTATGTGCCATGACTTTTACGATCGTAAGTGGTACGTATGCGAAACTAGAAGTTCTTCGCAGAAGTATTTCCCAGAAATAAAAAGTGTTTTAAGGCGTTCTACGCCTTCAAAGAAAATTATTTGTATAATATAACTTTGTTGTTCTTGTTGTTTTTGTTATTGTTGATTCCGCATCATAAAGCTAATGAATGCGGTCTTAGCACTGAATGTAGACCTATAGCCGATTGTCCCTTTATTCGAGATAATTTCAATTTAATCAAAAGGAAACGCTATTGCAATTTGGATCGTCCCGGTGCACACGTATGCTGTCGGAAATCATCACAAAATCTTACGCAATCGAAATCTGTTGATTTGCCTATTGTCAGAGGTATAGTAATTAAATCCTATATTGATAATCTTAAGGTCTATAAATCTTTCGTAAATATCTTTCATGAGCATGGGAAGAACAATCCTTGCCCTTGCATCTGCAAACATTACATTTATGAACTAAACATTTATTGTGGGACAATCAATTTGACTTGTTTCTCTCACTTCTGTCGTCAGAAGAGAAAGAGAGTTGAGAAAAGCAAATTGAAAGAGAATTTAAAATCAAATAGAATTTCTTCGACTCAAGGTATTATATGCAAGAGCAAGCAGTTCACTTGCTGTTAATTAGCATTGCCTTAACCACTGTTTCTGTTGATAACAGAAAACTCAAAGATCTCTGAGATTTTGCTTTATATCTTATTTTGAAAAGTATCTTGGCCGCCTTTGCCATTTACTTTTCTCTAAGTTAGAATTGTGACAAAAGATATGCACGCTTACATAGCATGTTTTGCTTGCTACGCTCTCATTTACATTTTATGAAACATTTCTGCTTTACTTCTAAGATATATTTATAGTCTATTGCGCTTTCCTTAGAGTGCAGATCCTACGACAGTCTACCAAGTCTACAAAATCCTCTAGGAGAAGGATGTCATTACAAATCAAACATAGTTGGTCGAGTAAAAGCGGAACCTAAAGAGTTTCCTTTTATAGTATTAATATACCGTAAAGATGGCAACATGTTTAGTCAGTTTTGCGTTGGTACTTTGATTAGCAAAGAATACGTTTTGACATCTGCTCACTGCTTCCTCTACGGCACGTGAGTTTATCGTGCTATCGATTTATTGAACGCTTTCACATAATAAATCACTTTCTTTTCATTCCTAAGTCTTCGCCCTAACTGGGTGCGTATAGGAGAATTAGATTATGACAGTGAGACAGATGATGCTTCCCCGGAAGATATTGCAATCAAAAATTTTATACCTCATCATCAATATTATTCCACTGGACTGTTTCGATACAATGATATTGGTTTGATTCAATTGGCAAAAGAAATCACCTTTGACGATTACGTACGTCCTGCCTGCCTATCACCTGCAGATGACAATCATTTTCAACAATTTCTATTTGCCGGTTGGGGTTATCGTTACTCAGTGCCTTCTTCCCATTTGCTGAAAGTGAAACTAGATCGTCTTGCCGATCACAGATGTAGCGAAATGTTCAGCCATCTATTGGAGAAAGGTATTAACAATCGCACACATACGTGCGCCATCCCTTCTACTGGCGATTTCGGTACTTGTGATGAAGCTGGTCCACTTATTGTTAATCATCCCGAGTTTCCCTGTCAATACCTCGTCGTGGGCATTATGTCATTCGGTCACAGTGTTTGCGGAACTAAGAACGATCCATCTGTTTACACCAGAGTCAAACCGTATACCGATTGGATACAACGTATCGTTTGGAATTAAATTAGAAAAGAATTAAAAAGAAATTAATAAATTACTCACACATAAATAGTATTATTTTTACGTGGAATACTTAAATTTTCTTTGTATGACTAAGAAATCTCGTCAAATCGAAATCATCGTCTTATGCGTACAGAAAATTTTTCCGCTTTTTTGTTTTTTTTTTTTTTTGTATATAAATGTCTCGAGCAAGTGAAGCCACAACAAACCAGAGCAGCATACATCATCCCGCCTTAACTTAGACACAAATAATACGTCTATGCGTTCAGGACTTTTTTTTTTTAATGCGGAAAGATCGATTACTTTTTTGATTGTGTTCATACGGAGGAAGGTTACGACAAGACGCCGGGACTAAATTAAGCTACACAAAGAATAAAAAGTTTCCTTGCATCGATTCAAGCGCATGAATGAGGCACACCTGTATACGTTGGAGTCCAAAAAAAAAAATAAACCAAAGTGATCCAAATCCACTACCATTAAATTTTTTGCTCAAACGCTACTATGAATTTTCATCATAAAATATTAAAAAATACGATTTTTTCCAAAGGACTTACTTCTACCTACGGGATTACTTATATGGAACGACGCCCAGAAATAGACCTACGTGGTTCAAATTAGGTTCACTTAATTTTTTCTTATCTAATTACTATTATTCATTACAAAAAAATTAACAGTTAGGCTGCATGGGGCAAAAAAGGGTTTACGTTTCGTGACAATCCTTACATGGTGGCGGTAGCCAAAAAAAACAGACCAACCTGATCCAAATACGGTAAGACAGATTTCTTTGTCAATTTGTTCTTATGAGGTAGTTTTCACCGTGAACTATTGGAAATTTGACCTAATTACCATAAAAAGATTCAATTTCTGTAAGAACGGTTGGTTCTCTGCAAGGGGTTGCAAACAATCGAACCAACCGGTCCAAAGCTTTCACACTAATTTGGAATGCTGAAATACTACTACTTAGTCAATTTTACGGAGAAGTTTCGAAAATTGCAACTTTTTCTTATACAACGTCCTGTTTTAAAAAGTCGTTAAGTCGAAAAAGCGAACAGATCCAAATCATTTACTTAGAACAAAGTGCATCTTTGTACCAAATTTTATCAAAATTCTTCAAAAATTGCGATCTTCAGCTTGAACACAAAAATACATGGACAGGTATTAGATAGACAGACAGGTTTAGATCGATTGAGAAAATGATTCCAAATGAATCGGTGTAATAAGAGGTGGACCTATCTTCTGGCCCTTGCGGGGTTTTACATACGCGCACTAGCAGGACTACTGGAAATTTTTAACTTAAAAATTTTCTTTCTCAAAATACTCGCTACCTCGCTCGCTTTAACTCTTTTTTTCTTTTTATTAAAAGTAATAATAGATTCATTGATTGAGGCGAAATACAAAAATACTTGTGGGAAAATACTATATATCGATATATACTATATTTCGATGTTGAAAATTTCAATAAATTTTATTGATGCATAAACAACGTCAACATCGTCATTATTTCTGTAATTCCACGCAATCACAAAAATTCTCTGGTAAAAGAGAAAATTCCAACCAATCATCTCTTACCGAGCTACCGCATGCATTATGCAAAGAGGAAATTTAAGAAAAAAACATGAAGCTTACTGAAGAAAACACTTGACAATCAAAGACCCGTTATCTTAAAAGAAATTTCTAACAAATGATCTCAAATCTTTTTGTATTTGAAAATTGTCGCCAACGGGCGGGCAAGTCCCAATCTCCGTAGTTAAGACTTATATTATTGTACACTTTAATGAAAATCAATCTCTCAACTAGATGTAAACATGAAGGTGTGCGTGCGTTCATCGTGGGGAATCCACAGGTAAATCTGGTTACATTTTTTTCCCGTTTAATTTTACCTTCGATTACATATACAGTTTTTGTGTATGTTTGTCTGTTTCATACAAAAACAAGACAGACAATCATTATATTTTACATCTTTTTTTTTATTTTTTGTTGCTTTTCAATACTGAATGATTTGAGTAATTAAAGCTAGTGACTTAACTTTTTTTCCTCTCTTCTCATTAAATATTTATAAGGCACAACTATGACTTATGCTTTATACATTGAATAATTTATATGCATTAAATTGCATTTACATTTAAATCTCCAAAAGTCTGAATGGTTTTGTGTACATTTTCTTCTTGAATACAACCTTGCGTACATCTTCTTAGTAAATCGTCTCTTTTTTGCGACCCTAGCCAGCCCGGATGCAATGTAAACAATTATTTTAATCAATTAATTTCAAACCTCCGTCGGATTGATAGGTTCTTACTACAACAACAGAGAAATTTTGTTGGTTTCAAAACTAATTAATTACTCTCCCAGCTCCCATCGTAAGTTGTTTAAGTTGTTTGAAGCAAAGCACAGGCAAAGTCATAAACTTATCAGTTACTTCAAGCTCAATCAGTTAGTTTCAGCTCTCAGCTGAGTTAATAGGTTCTGAATACGAAACGGACATTGGCAAATAAACAACAACAAGGTTTAAATGGCCGCGTTAGCAATAAAACTGTTCTTGAATCCATGGATGCTGTGTACAACAATTATTACGATCGCAAGTGGTACGCATACAAAATGGGAAAGGAAGTCTTTCGCAGAAACAAAAATTTTTTAAGGTTTTTTGTTTTGAAATGAAATGAATTATATAATATCATGTTGTTGTTGTTGTTGTTATTTTCTCATGAAGCTAATGAATGTGCTCTTAACAGTGAATGCGTACCAATAGCCGATTGTCCGCTTATTCGAGATAATTTCAATTTAATCAAAAGAAAGCCCTACTGCAATTTGGATCGTCTTGGTGCACACGTATGCTGTAGGAAATCATCACCAAAACCAAAAATTGTCGATTTGAGTATTGTGAGAGGTAATTAACTTGTTCAATGATAATCTTAAACAGAATTAGTCCGTCTGCGTTCAAGCAATACGATTGCAATTCCAATCCATTATCAATGGTTCATCTAACGGCCGGGGAGAGAGAAAGAGAATTTAAAACGTAATTGAAAGAGAATTGAAAATCAATAGAATTTTGTGAAAGTGCAAGCATAGTTAAATGGCGGTTAGTTAACACCGCTTCCACCGCTGTTATCGATAACAGGAGATTCATAGATTCCTGGGCGTTTACTTCTTCTTATTTTAATAAATATCTCGGCCGCCTTTGCCATTTACTTTTCTCTGCCATACATAATATATGTAACGTTAGAAATGTGTCATAAGATATTTACGCTTACATAGCGTGTTTTGCTTGCAACGCTCTCATGTTTATGTTTATGTAACATTTTAGCTTCACTTTTGAGATACATTTATAGTCTCGTGCGTTTTCTTTAGAGTGCAGATTCTACGACACTCTACCAAATATACAAAATCCAGCAGAAGAGGGATGTCAATATATCCGCAATAGCAATTTGTCTGCATCTAACATAGTTGGTCGCATAAAAGCCGAACCTAGAGAGTTTCCTTTTATTGCGTTGATATACGCGGTAGAAGGTAGCAGAGCTGGTCAATTTTGTAGCGGTACTTTGATTAGTAAAAAATATGTTTTGACATCCGCTTTTTGTGCCCTCAGCGGTCGGTGAGTTTGTCGTGCGGTAAATTTATTGAACATTTTTACGTAACGCCCTACTTTCTTTTCATACCTAAGTATTCGGCCAAGCCGAGTGCGTTTAGGCGAATTGGATTACAGCACTAATACTGATGACGCTGTGATACAAGATTATGAAATCAAAAACATTATACCCCATCATGAATATCGCTCCACAACACTAAATAAATACAACAATATTGCTTTGATTGAGATGGCAAACGAGGCCTTCTTTAACGATTACGTACGTCCTGCTTGTCTATCTCTAATAGATGATAATAATTTTCGCCAATTTGTGACTGCCGGCTGGGGCTATCCTCCATCACAACCGTCAGGCCATTTACATAAAGTGAAATTGGATCGTCTCGATGATGAGAAATGTTTCGGAAAAGTGAAACGCTCTCATTTGGAAAAAGGAATTAACAATCGTACAAATATGTGTGCGATCGGTGCTTGTGATGCCGGTGGCGGTAGTCCACTTTTTGTTAATCATCCCGACTTTCCCTGTCAATTTCTGTTAGTAGGTATTATGTCGTTCGCTCACGAGATTTGCGGAAGTATCAATGATCCAACTGTTTACACCAAACTCAAATTATATGTCGAATGGATACAACGCATTGTTTGGAAGTGAATGATAAAAAAAAAAAACTATTTACAACTTGCTTACACATAAATAATAACATTTACAATATCGCAAACATTGAAACACGTCTTTGTAACTAAGCAGAATTGTACGTCTATGGCATACTTCATGGGTAAGTTTTTTTGTTTTACTTCAAAATTTGGTCAAAGAAGAAAAGCGACTTGCTTTTGTATCTCTGGCAAGATCTTAATACAAAGAGCCATCATAGCTTACTGTGGTCTTTGTATTATTAAATATTTTAATGGAATCTTGAATGTGTTGCGTATTACAAACACGGGAACGTTCTTCATTTCTAAAAATTAATGTTCGATTAAATTGCAAATGGTAGCCAAATCTTCGGCATATTTTGTAGTTGCCCACCACACATATCATATTATAATTCTCTTACGTAAGGAAGTCTTTTCTTGCTTTTGTTTTATTTATTGTAAATTGCTTTAAATTTACTTTTGTATGCCAATGTCTCGAGCAAGTGAAGCTCTCCTAAGGATAAGTTCGTAAGTAACTTTTTTATGCTCTTTACACGACACGGTTGCTACCATTGAATCTCTAGAATATTGAAGCGAATAACAACGTGACACTTGCTCAACATTTGCCAATCGTGCTCTCTTAGCTAAGATTGTAATTAATGAATAAAAATGAGTACAAGAAAGGATATAAGAGATTAGATATTCCTTGCATGTACGCAATCATGCAAACGCTGTTACATTCAATTGAATTTATTTTAATAACTTTTTGTCAATTGATTGACATTTCCATAAATGCATTTATTAGCCTTCTTCCGAACACATATATCCTAATCGAAGGAACCTGTTAATCCCGTTTTCTCTCTATCCCTACTCCTTCCTTTATTGCTCCACAAATCCGGTTTTCTTTTTCTCAATCATCCTCTCAATCATTGAATTCTGCCTCGGTTTACTTTTTCTAGTTAGTTTGGTACTTTCCTTTTTATTAGAACATAAATTTTTGCATTGCCTTCGGCTTTAACCAACAATTTCACAATGCTCGAATATTTCGACATCACTCAGCACATTATTTGAATCATTACAATTAATTATTACGAGTTGCAATAATACACTCGATAACAAAACCATACAAATAAAAATACACGTAAAAGTTACGTAAGATTTTTGATGAAATGATATCAAGGGAGGAAAGGCGCCACGTTTTTTTCGATGCAGAAAATCTGTGAAAAATTATAGATTCATTAAATATTGGAAATTCAAAAAAAAAAAAAAACCTGTAGTGCAGTGTAGTTTACTTCTAATAACTGAAATCGTTCTGGGATTTTCTGACGAATCTCACATCAAAAAAGTATCTAAAAATTAAAAATTCTTCCAAAATATACGATAAATAAAAGAGTCAGCTCACCACTATTCCATTCAGGCTACGCTTGCCTCTTCGGTTTATGAAATGTTTTCTATTGTGTGAAGGCTTATGAAAATATGTGTGGGCTCCGTTGTGACGGCCCGTCACAAGCACTAAAAAAGCACATCGAAAAATTATTTACCACCAGGAATAACACAATTTCCTATGGAATCACTCCTTTGTGTTCGCATCAATACTAGCACATGAAGAGAACAAGGTCGAAGCTCGAAAATGAAACCTAGTTAACATCATACATAATTAATGTCCCCAATTTCATAGATCAGATATTGACTTTTTGTTAGAAATTCTTTCCTGCGGAACGCTCGTCTTGGACGTACGGTGTAGTCATTTTTTTTTTTTTTTTGATTAATTATACGTTTGTTTTGTTTAGTAAATTGTTTAATGTATGCATTCATTTATTTATAAACTTATTTGTCTCTTGACAAAAACACAATATAAGACAGTAATAAGATGTAATCACTTGACTAACAGCGACAAACAGCGAACTGACTTTGAGAGAAGAGAAACAAGTAAAGTTTTAGATTGATTTATAAAAAAAAAAAAATCGGTGAAAATTGGATTCATTAATTTAATTAAAGTTATTTCGAAGGAAAAAAAATCAAATTTTGAGAAAAATTATTGTAATAATAATAATATGTAACCGTATTATTGTCAATTGAAAAATTGAATCAATTTCATAAACACTATCAACATCTCGATTATTGTTGCAATTTTCTGCTGTTGCACAGACAAACTGCTGGCTAGAGGAAAGGCAAAAGTAAAAGGAAAGAACTTTAAAACTAATCAAGAAAAGCTTGCTTGAGCGATATTAAATACGGTGTCGTACACCTATCTCAAACCATTCTACCATAAAAATAGCATCGTCGATGTTTTCTCATCATTAAAGTCAACTACACTTGAAAGGGTTTCGAAAGTATTGCCAGTGAGAAAGCATAAGAATCGCAATACCCGCAGTTAACATTTATATTATATTATTGCATACATTAATCAAACATAATCAATCTGATATCAATCTAAATATAACCATGAAAGTGTACATTCATCGTAGGAAATCATCAGCCAAGTCAAGTTTATATAAGTTAACAGCACACACCATGGCCATCTCAACAATCCCATATCGATTGCATTTAACATCAAAGGTATTGAGGGTCGCAGGGATTTCATCAATATTGCTGATAATTGCACGGGAAATAGGTGTCCAAATAATATCAACTCCATCTATATCAATTGCACAAATAGAATATATAATCATTGTCTGGATAATAGATAAGATAAAGACATCCGCTATGGCAAAGCAAGCCCCTTAGCTGATTCAGAAAATTCCGGATTAAAGCGAAAATATATCTTAGAGCAGAGTAAAGCTATAAATTAAATCTTAACCGTAAATCTATTGTTTTTGTCGTACACAACTCAGAACATTGGGCATAACATTGCCTATCGATCATGATCGTCGACACTACAATTCTTATGAAGATGCCAAAACTCTTGGATAGCCTCAAAAGACGTGAAAAAAGATGGGAAAAAGTACTAGCAGTCTCTGATTCATCGGCGTCTCTGCTTTGTGTTTTAAATACATTTTCGAATCAAGAACGTTAAGCGCCTTGTTGTAAAGTGCCAATAAAAATAAAGAGATTTACGGTAAATAAAAAATATTTTTTTAAATGAAATCTCAACCCGAGAAACTGGTTATTATCTCTCTCTCTCTCTCTCTCTCTCTCTCTCTCGCTCTTTTTCTGTCCCTGTCTTTGTCTCCGCCTATCCAATACGCTTAAAAGAAAGTAAAGACCTTCTTCTCTTTTTCTTGTTCCTATCTTTAGTGTTTCTTCCTCTTATTGAAACGAGGTAAATAATTATATTCTTTAAATGATATATGACATATAATTTTCCTTCCTCTCGTCGCATTATCGAACAATAGCCTTTACTCCTCTATACATATACGTAGCTTTATACTTAGCTACTTATGAATTCTATATTTGCTCCAAAGCCTGAACGATTTCCGTGACAATTTTTTACAGAGAAATTTTATTGGGTTTAAACTAATGAATTGCTCTTACACCTCTTTACAAGTTGCTTGAGTTGTTTAAGAGATAAGACGCGCAAAGTTAAAAGCTTAACTTAACTAAACGCGGGACTGCCGCTATAAACAATTGTTTTAGTCAATCAGTTATGTTCAACTCTCGACTGAATTCATAAGTTCTTAATACGAAGCGAAGAAAGCAAATCATCGGTAGCTCTAGATGAGTGGGTTAGCAATGAAATTAATATTTAGCCCATGGATGCTTTGTGCAATGACTATTACGGTTGTAAGTGGTGCGTGTACGAACCGGGAAAGGAGGTCTTTCTCAAAAATAAAGAATGTTTTACGAATTTTGCTTTGAAATGAAATGAATTATATAATATCATGTTGTTGTTGTTGTTGTCGTTATTTTCTCACAAAGCTAATGAATGTGCTCTTAACAGTGAATGTAGACCTATAGCCGATTGTCCCCTTATCCGAGATAGTTTCAATTTGATCAAAAGGAAACCCTACTGCAATTTGGATCGTCCCGGTGCACACGTATGCTGTAGAAGATCATCACAAAATTATACGCAACCGAAATATGTTGATTTCCGTGTTATACGAGGTATAGTAACTAATTTGTTTATTGATGTTTTTCAATATATCTCAGGGTAAGTGAGATGGGAAGAATAGCCTTCCTAAGTACCTTCCATGAGCATAAATAGCAAAACCCATGTCTGTCTGTTTACGATTATGAGGAGAAGGAGATTTGAGGAGAAGGATTCTAGGAAGATGAATTTGACTCTTTCCTTAATTAAAAATCAATACGAAAGAGAATTGAAAATCAAAGAGAATTTACGCAAGAGCGAGTGATTAAATTGCTGTTAACTAACTGCGCTAGTAATGTTATTGATAACAGAAAATGCACAAAAAGTCCTGAGATTTGACGACTTCTTAACTTTTCTAGACATATTTGCTTCATTTTTGAGATATTTTTATAGCCTATCGCGTTTTTCGTAGAGTGCAGATCCTACGACAGTGTGCCAAGTCTTCAAAATGCACTAGGCGAAGAGTGTCGTTATACGTCTAACATAGTTGGCCGCGTAAAAGTTGAATCTAAAGAGTTTCCTTTTATGGCATTATTGTACCGCAAAGATGGGGAGAGAGAGAATTTTACTCGGCTGTGTAGCGGTACTTTGATTAGCAAAAAATATATTTTAACATCCGCCCACTGTTTCTCTCGCTACGAGTGAGTTTACAATACAGTAAATTTATTGAATATTTTCACATAACATAAACTACTTTCTACTTTTCATTCATAAGTTCTCACCCTAATTGGGCGCGTTTAGGAGATTTGGATTATAATACAAATAGAGACGATGCTTTACCGCAGAATATTGAAATCAAGCATTATACACTTCACCGTGAATATTACAAGGCTAAACTAGCTAGATACAATGATATAGCTTTGGCTGAACTGGCGCAAGAAGCCATCTTTAACGATTACGTACGTCCTGCTTGCCTGTCTCTAATGTTAGATGCTAATGATTTTCAAGAATTTCTGATTGCTGGCTGGGGCTGGAGTTCTCCTGAGTCGGAACCTTCATCCCATTTACATAAGATGAAATTCGATCGTCTCGATGATGAGAAATGTTTTGAAATATACCGGTACCGTTTGGAAAAAGGTATTAACAATCGTACACATACGTGCGCGATCCCTTCTACAGGTGATGTCGGTATATGTAACGGTGATGGTCCACTTTTTGTTACCCATCCAGAGTTTCCCTGTCAATTTCTTGTAGTAGGTTATTTTTCGTTCCGTCACGATGTTTGCGGATCTAAAGATGATCCAGATGTTTACACCAGAATCAGATTATACACCGATTGGATACAAAGTATCGTTTGGAATTAAATTTAAAAAAAGAAAAAAGTTTTTTAGAAAATTACTTACACTTAAAAATATCACATTTCATATCATTTTAAATACAAATTTGTAACCACACGTATGTATATGCAACACTTGATGGATAAATATTTCATCATTTCAATTTGAGATTTGGTCGAGCAGAAATTGCGATTTGCTTTTGTGTCTTTACCAAGTTTCGCTTACTTTAGCTTTTATATCTTTTAATCTTAAGATAAATCGTAACTGAAGCGCATGAAAATCGGCATTAAAATGTAAATTGAAGATAAGTTTCGTTTTAATAAATAAATATTTATATGCACTTATCGTACAACAAATCATTAAGCATTTATATGGAATTTTAAAGGCGTTACGTAATGCAAACACGACCAAATTATTTTTTTCTTAAAAAGGACGTCTTACTAGATTACACAACGCAAAAGGTCAAATGATATTCAAATCTTCTGCACATTTTAGTTGCGTTGGTGCTCTCAGTGTGTGTGAGGCACTATGTGCCTACACATATCATTATATCATGACTCTATGATACGTAAGGAAGTCCTTTTTTCTTTTTGTATTATTTATCGTAAATTGTTTTAAATTTCTTTTATATGTAAATGTCTCGAGCAGTTAAAGCAATTCATGCTGATAACCTACGTAGGTTATTCTCACATCATCGTTGTTACAGTTGAATCTGTAAGATATCTAAACGAATGACAACGTGACTCTTGCTACTCCAATCCATAATTGTGCCCTCGTAGCCAATAGTATGATTAGTAAATAAATATTAGTACAAGAAAGAGCATAACAGACCAGTGCTAAGTCTAACGAGCTTCGATATATTTCTTGCATTTATTTAACCATGCAGTGGCCGTTACATTCTTTTGATTTTTCGCCATTCTTACTTTATTCAATTCCCCATGTCGTTTCGTAGCAATTGGTTGACACAAAGCTGCTAATCCTGGCTATAGCTTTTTCTATCACTGTTCCTCCGCTTTATTATTTAATAAATTTCTTTCCTTATCGACCCTTCTCTTAAACTCGTTCTTAGTTTTCTGTTTTGAGTTTGCTTAGTTAAGCGGGGCAGGCGTTAAGGCTCGCAAAGAATTTTTTATCTTGTCTTAGCTTGAGAACTTGGTTCTGACCTATGCAAGCGCAATTTTACAGTGTTTACATTTTCATCTACTCAGCAAGTAGCTTAAATCTTTGATATTCCTCTTACCTTGGCCTCCCACATAGCGTACCGTAAGTCATATCGATTGAAGTCTATCGAATAAGACGAACGGACAGTGAAGTGAAGAGAAATTCTAATCCTTCAAGTAAAATAAATAAATGAAAGAAATTAAAACTTCTTTTTGACACTTTTTATCAGCTGAATATACAAAGATTATTGGAACAATGCTCTTGTACTTTCACTGTGTAACAATTTTCACGCTTGAAACAAGGAGAGATGCAAACTAGTAGTAGGTTCAACCTGCTATTTGAATAACTTTAATATTAAAAAATTGATAGCTTGAACGAATCCAACGCATTATTTGTGTGACCAGGTATGGTAAGTTTGTGCAAATGTATGCGAAATCCAAAAGGACTTCAAATGGCGCCACCTCTTACTACACCACTCGATGCAGAATCGCTTTTTCTATCATTCCAAGCTATTCTATCTGTATGTTTGTCTGTCCGCCTGTTTGTGCAGGTCCAAAATTTTTGAAATATTTTGGTGAAATTTAATATATCGACATGCTTTGGTCCAAAGACGAACACTGTTGAATATGAAAAACCATTTCAATAGCGTTCGTTCTTGAGCCAAAACACGTCAGTGTATCAAATTTCACGCAAGAAAACAAGACAAACAGGTAGACAGATAAGCTTAAATCAGAGCAGAATATGATTCCGAATAGGTCAATACAATAAAAATTACGCCTATTCGGAGTCCATCCGGATGTTACGTATATCCGGCCAAACTTAATGTACCTATCCTACATCCTACACTGTTTTTTAGAAAGTACTGCTTTAAAAGAAAAAAAGCTTCCCTTAATAGAAGCCTCTTTTGCTAGCCTCAAAGAACAAGCCCTAGTCTTTGTGATATGCTACAATTGGGATCGCACATTTGGATCGTCCTGGTGCAAACATATGCTATAGGATCATCTAAAAACTACAAGCAATCGAAAATTACGGCTTTCCGTGCTATAAGAGGTATGGAAACTAATTTGCCGTTTTTCAATATTTCTCAGAGTAAGTGAGATGGATAGGTTACCTTTATAAATACTTCGTATCTCTCATGACTATGGCTAGCACAATTAATGCCTGTCCGTTCATCCAACTGCGTGCAAACATTCTGACTCATTTAATATAGAAGGTGTATTGAAAAAAAAAGTAAAATCATATATCGTCTGGATACAACGCATCGTTTGGGATTGAATTAAAAAACTATATATTTTTCTAAACATATATAATAACACGTATACATTCATTGCATATAAATGAAAAGCTTTATCTGTACATATTCTTTGTATTACTTTGAAGTTTCGTCAAAGCATCACTTGCGTCCGTGTCTTTAGCAAATCGTACATATTTTGGCTTTTATATCTTTTCGTTTTTAAACTCAACCGTAACTGAGACTGGAATTGGATTCAGAAAATTTTTTGATGGTTATGAAAATTGAAAGAATGTTTGCGTATACTTACGTTGCAAGAATTCATTACACACTTGCATATAATTTGTATGTAGAAAGTAAGATGTTGTTTAAGTTTATGCTGATCTTGCTATTCAAAAAAAAAAAAAAACCAATTCAACGCATCTCTTTGACAAAATAAATTTTTACTTTCCTTTTTATAACATCCGCTGCAAAAACTAATAATTCTATGCATATGTCAAAAACCAACCTCTGCAAACAAACGCAATTCTTTATCAACAAGTTTTGTACGATTGTGTCGTAATGAAACAACAAAACTCAGCTGATTGATTGAGAAGACTACGGTATTTTACAGCGCTGTATATGCAGTATACTCAATTAGATTGTAGACGGTTGCTACTCTTTTTCTTTGCGATTTTTACTCGAGAATTAATTGAAAAATTTAAAGAGTCTTGAAAAAATTATTTCTATTAGATTGAGAATGAAGGACTTGCCTCGTTTTTCCGCTGCTCTAAGAGCAAATACAGATCTGGAAGCTAAGTTGCCGCTAATGTTAACTAATGAAGAATTGGAAGAAGCCAGAAGAGAAAGATATAATTTTCTTAAAGCGTGAGTGTTTAAAAAATAATAAGGGGATTCCCTTTACGTTTTTTTCCAATTTTGTAGGCAAACAGAAGAGGTGCAAACTATTGCCCTTATTTTAGATCAAATACCTCAAGGAAAACAAGCACAGGTAAAACTGCAAATGCACAAATTGCGAAATATTGTTCGAGAATGCATGGGTTTTGAAGGACAACCCCAGGTAGTGGAACATGCAACTTTATTTTTATTTTGGCTAATGCTTGGCCAGAGAGTTATATTAGTTGCTACAACGATGCAAATACGTACAGTGTTCGGCACTATTTTTGGTAGCAAATTGGCTAACATACATCAATGCGTTTGCGTCATTAACGATCTTTTAGAAAATAATGAAATAGAAAAATTGAAAAGGTGGAATAAAAAGCTGGCCAGAGGCGGTAAAGACTATCCCATATTTGGTGAAAACATTAAGATTGAAATGAGGTTTGCTGAAATTTGTGATGTAAAGGGCCTGACAGATTGGTCTCCAGATGCCAATATTAGAAATGAAGCGATCGCTCGTTTCAATATGCAATGGGATCAAAGCGATAAACGTCCTTCTCAAGGGGAAGAAAAACTTGCCAATATCATCCACGCTTTAGAAAAAAAAGCTAATGACACGGGTCATTCAGAGTTGATAAATAGTGTCACTGAATTGCTTAACTCTAAAAGAACTGATGCCGAACTACAGAACGATTTAATAGAATTATTAGGCTTTGAGCATTTCGATTTGGTACAAGATTTGCTTACACAACGACGAGTAATGGTAACTTACCTTTTAGAGATCGAACAAAAAGAACGACGCCAGAAGCGTACTAAACAGTTGCAGAAAAAAAAACAAAGCGGCTTAAACACTAACGTGGAAATACGTCCTACAGTAGCAACGGCGGTTGTGGTGCAATCGACAGCTGAAAAAGAGCTAAATAAACAGCAAAGACGTGAGGAAAAGAAAATGAATCGTTTAATGCACAGCATAGGGCGATCTGAAAATGAAAACGACGAACGTACAGCAGAATTAATTAACCCTATGCAGTTGCGTTTACAACATCAACGTAACTTACTAGAAACGGCCCAACGAGAACCTATACTTAAAACGACACAGAACTTTAAAGAATTCCGAAGCAGATTTAATGCGCAATCTGCCGCACAACGTTACCCTTATGTGTTTGACAGTCAATTAGACGCTAAACAACATGCTGGCTTTATAGGAGTAAATCGTATTTGCCTACCGGACCATGCTGAACGGTCGGACAATCGTCAATATGAAGAAGTGAAAATACCTGCTACGGAACCACCGCCCCTTAACGTAGGTAACAATCGTGTTAACATTAGCGATTTAGATGAAGTTGGGAAAATAGCTTTTGCCAACTGTAAACAGTTGAATCGAATACAATCAGTGGTATATCCAGTTGCCTATCATAGCAATGAAAATATGTTGGTCTGTGCGCCCACGGGCGCAGGTAAAACAAATGTGGCGATGCTAACCATCGTACATACTATACGAACTCACCTTGAAAATGGCATTATAAATCGTGAGCAATTCAAAATAGTCTATATTGCTCCAATGAAAGCTTTGGCCGCGGAAATGGTAACGAATTTTTCGAAGCGCTTGAAGGAACTGAATATAGTAGTGAAGGAGTTGACCGGCGATATGCAACTGACAAAAACGGAAATGAGTGAGACGCAGATATTGGTAACGACACCGGAAAAGTGGGATGTGGTAACAAGGAAAGGTCAGTTTACATATTTTATAAAGGGTATAAACAATAATATCAAGTTGCGTTTTAGGAGCTGGCGACGTGTCGCTTATTAGCTTAGTAAAATTATTAATCATAGATGAAGTTCATCTGTTGCATGGCGAACGCGGTCCAGTAGTGGAGGCGTTAGTGGCACGTACTCTACGTTTGGTAGAATCTTCTCAAAGTATGATACGTATAGTGGGTCTCTCGGCCACTTTGCCGAACTACATCGATGTCGCCAATTTCCTTCGAGTGAATCCCATGAAGGGTCTTTTCTACTTTGATGGACGTTTTCGCCCTGTACCTTTAGATACCAATTTTATTGGTATCAAAGCCATTAAGCCTTTACAACAGCTAAGCGATATGGATCAAGTTTGCTATCAGAAATGTGTAGAGCAACTGCTACACGGTCATCAGGTAATGGTGTTTGTGCATGCCCGTAATGCTACAGTACGCACAGCTAGCACCCTACGTGAATTGGCGCAGCAGAACAATATGTGTGCCCTCTTTCTGCCCGATACCAATACCAGTGATTATGGATTAGCTACTAAAGCCATACAGAAGTCACGGAACAAACAATTAGTGGAACTGTTTTCGGCTGGCATCGCTATGCATCATGCTGGTATGTTAAGAACGGACAGACATTTGGTAGAGAAATATTTCTCGGAGGGATACATTAAAGTATTAGTTTGCACAGCGACTTTGGCGTGGGGCGTTAATTTACCGGCTCATGCCGTAATCATAAAAGGTGATTATACTTTATTGATTTCATGTGTACTTATAGTAATAGGATGAGATCGATTAAATTATATTTCCAGGTACCGATATCTACGATTCCAAACATGGCGCATTTGTGGATCTTGGCATTCTTGACGTTTTACAAATTTTCGGCCGCGCTGGTAGACCACAGTTCGATAAAAGCGGCGTGGGCACTATTATCACTACGCACGATAAACTTAACCATTACTTATCCCTGCTCACGAATCAATTTCCCATTGAATCAAATTTCATTCAATGCTTGGCCGATAATCTTAATGCCGAGATAGTTTTGGGGACTATTACAAATGTTGAAGAAGCCATAGAGTGGTTGAGTTATACCTATCTGTTTGTGCGCATGCGTATCAATCCTCACGTTTACGGAATCGAATATACCGAAGTTATGCAAGATCCCTCCTTAGAACATAAGCGAAGAGCCTTAATTGTAGGTGCTGCCATGAGTTTGGATAAAGCGCGTATGATACGTTTCAAGCAGCGAACTCTCGATTTTAATGTCACAGATTTAGGTCGCACAGCTTCGCATTATTATATAAAAGACGATACGGTAGAAATATTTAATGAACTTATAAAACCGTTTATGAACGAAGGTGATATATTTGTAATGATGTCGCAAGCCCAAGAATTCCAGCAGCTCAAAGTACGTGATGATGAACTGGAAGAATTGGACGAATTGAAACACAATTATTGCAAAGTTAAAGTATTTGGCGGTAGTGAAAATGTTTGCGGAAAAATTAATATATTAATGCAGACATGCCTATCGCGTGGCTATGTCAAATCGTTTTCTCTAGTCTCTGACATGTCGTACATCATGCAAAATATAACACGCATTGCGCGCGCCTTATTCTCCATTGTCTTGCGTAATAATGATTCGATACTTGCAGGGCGTATATTGCAAGTATGCAAAATGTTTGAACGACAACAGTGGGATTTCGAGAGTCCTATGCGTCAGTTCTCGCATATCAATATCGAGACTATTGATAAATTAGAAAGTAGAGGTGTTAGTTTATACACACTCCGTGAAATAGATCATAATGAGCTAAAGGATATATTACGTAGCAGTAAATATGCTGAGCAGGTCTTACGTGCAGCCAAAGAATTGCCTATGCTCAATGTTGATGCTACTTTGCAGCCCATAACGCGTACAGTGTTACGTATTAAAATCAATATATGGCCAGACTTTCTTTGGAATGATCGGGTACATGGTAAAACAAGTCAAAATTTTTGGTTATGGATTGAAGATCCCGAATCCAATTTTATCTATCATTCTGAATTGTTCCAGGTATTTTTACCAATCCGCATTTACAATTCTATTACAAAAATAAATAATTTCTGTTTATGTGTTTTCTTCATGTTAAAATACACATTTTAGGCCACGCGCAAATTTGTCTACAGCCAAAAACCACAAGAACTGGTGATGACGATACCTCTCAAAGAGCCTTTACCGCCACAATATTATATACGAGTAGCGAGTGACACTTGGCTGGGTACTAATGCGTGGACTCCATTAACTTTTAAGCACTTAGTGCTACCGGAACACCATCCCCCTCTTACTGAACTTTTACCGCTGCAACCTTTAGCTGTTACTGCTCTGAAAAATCCGGTCTATGAATCTTTATACAATTTTACGCATTTCAATCCCATACAAACTCAAGTCTTTCATTGTCTTTATCATACTGATAATAACGTTTTGCTGGGCGCACCCACAGGTTCAGGTAAAACTATAGTGGCGGAAATCGCCATACTTCGAACGCTCAATAAATATGAAAGAGCTAAGGTTGTTTATATTGCGCCTTTGAAAGCTTTGGTTAAGGAAAGAATTAGCGATTGGAAGAGACGTTTCGAACAGGGACCTCTTAAGATGAAAGTAGTGGAATTAACTGGTGACGTTACACCGGATATACAAGCTATTCGTGATTCTCAACTGATAGTTACAACACCAGAAAAATGGGATGGTATCAGCCGGTCTTGGCAGACAAGAGAATATGTACAGGATGTCGTACTAATTGTTATCGATGAAATACATTTACTGGGGGAAGACAGAGGACCTGTTATTGAAGTAATCGTATCACGTACGAATTTCATTACATCGCACACCGGATGCAATATACGTATCGTTGGTTTATCTACTGCTTTAGCCAACGCTCAAGATCTCGCCAATTGGCTGGATATTAAGGAAATGGGGTTATATAATTTTAAACCTTCCGTAAGACCGGTTCCTTTGCAAGTGCATATAAATGGGTTTTCCGGTAATTAAACCGAATTGAATAACTTTTCTGCCTTTTCTTTAATCATTCATTTGCAGGCAAACATTACTGTCCACGGATGGCCACTATGAATCGACCGACATTCCAAGCAATACGCTCTTATTCGCCAACGGAACCCACCATAGTTTTTGTTTCATCCCGCCGTCAAACTCGATTAACCGCTTTGGATCTGATTACTTTTGTCGCTGGTGATGAGAATCCCAAGCAATTCCTGCATATGTCCGAGCATGAAATGCAGCAAATTCTGCAGGGGATCAAAGATTCGAATTTAAAATTCTGCTTAGCCTTCGGCGTAGGTCTTCATCATGCCGGCCTGCAAGAAACTGATCGTAAAACAGTTGAAGAGCTCTTCCTGAATCGCAAGATTCAAATACTTATCGCTACCGCTACTTTAGCGTGGGGAGTCAATCTACCCGCTCATTTGGTGGTTATAAAGGGCACCGAATATTTTGACGGCAAAGTTAAAAAGTATGTTGATATGCCGATCACCGATATTTTACAAATGATGGGTCGTGCTGGGCGCCCTCAATTCGATAATGAAGGTGTCGCTGTAGTTTTGGTGCACGATGTCAAAAAGAATTTTTACAAAAAGTTCCTATATGATCCTTTCCCTGTCGAATCCAGTCTTTTGGAAGTTTTGCCCGAGCATATAAATGCTGAAATTGTTGCAGGCACTGTGCAAACAAAGCAGGCGGCTTTAGATTACCTCACATGGACTTACTTTTTTAGACGCTTATACCGTAATCCAACGTATTATAACTTGGAAGGTCTCGAGCCTTCGCAAATAAATCCTTATCTTTTCGTTTTGGTTGAAAATGTAGTAAATGAATTGAAATCGGCTGCTTGCTTGATAGAGAAAGAACATTTGCTCATACCAACTTTCCTGGGACGCATATCGTCCTTCTATTATTTATCCTATCGTACAATGAAGCACTTCTTAGACGTTTTACAACCTGAGATGTCTACACTGGATTTATTACATGCCATAGCCGATTCATACGAGTTCGATCAACAGCCTGTTCGCCACAATGAGGACAAATATAATGAGTAGGTATTCACAAATTTTTTAAAAATTCTTAAAGGAATAAACCGTTATCATATTCTTGATCATGTGCAGAGAATTGGCCGAATCTTGCCGTTATCGACCACGTTCAGCTACTTGGGATTCGTCATACACAAAAACTTTCCTTCTCCTGCAAGCTCACTTATCTAGGCTTGCTTTGCCAAATTCGGATTATTTAACGGATACGAAATCAACGTTGGATAATGCTGCACGTGTTATGCAGGTATTATTTAGTAATGTTTAAGGAACTACTATAAGAATTTTATGCGTTTATTTATAAACAAAACCCTATGGAGCGGATATTATTATCTCCATTCAAAAATCTGCTTTATATTTTTTTTTTTTTTTCTTATACATTAATGCGATTTGCCATTATAATTTTATTTATCAAAAGCTCTGAAGTTTCTTCAAAAAAGAAATTATTTATTATATTAAAGCTTGATTTAATATGAAATATAAGCTGCACTTCGAAAGACTAACGCTAGGTTAATCTCTTTACCGCCAATTTCGTCATACATTCATCGGAGATTTTGGTATTTATTTATTTATTTATTTTTTTTTTTTTCTCTAACTTAGGCCATGGTCGATTACACTGCAGAACGTGGCTGGTTGACGACTACTCTCAAAGTGCAGCAGTTAATGCAAAGCATTATCCAAGCAAGTTGGTTTGACGCAAGTGAATTCCTTACACTGCCAAATGTCAAAAATAACAACGTTCATGTTTTTTACAATGTAAACAACAATAATCAATATTTGAATTTACCAGTCTTGAAGGATCTCTGTCGAAATGATTACGAAAAATTAGCGGGCCCACTAAGAGATGCTTTCGAAGAGCACGAAATCGAACAAATCTATAAAGTTTTACAAGCTATGCCTGAATTAATGGTCTCGATATCAATACAAGGACGATTTAATGATAATAAAGAATGCTTGCGAGAGAAAATAAACAACGATTTGAAATCAAATGTCTGGACGAAAGTACATTCAAACGAAGTAAGTTTTTTGTGAAAACATCAGATATTTTAATCATTAGATTTTTTTCCATTTTGCGTAGGATTATGTTTTATGCATCGATATTAAGCGTTTGAATATCAGCGCGCGTTATATTGACACTGCCGTACATTGCCCGAAATATCCAAAAGGAAAGAATGAAGCATGGTTTTTAACATTGGGCTCTCAGGCTAACGATGAATTGTTAGCTATGAAACGTGTTAATTTGCGTGGCTTAAAGGCTTCCAATCGTATAACGTTCCAATGTCCACCACGCAAAGGCCGTTTACTTCTAACTTTATACCTAATGTCCGATTGCCTAATTAGTTTCGATCAACAATACGATTTGCAATTTGAAGTGATTGATGCCAAATAAAATGCAGTGAAAAATTTTTAAAAAATTTCCATTGACAATTTAATTTATTCGTTTTTATTTATTCTTATAAAAGTACAAAAACTATTTTTGTATATGAAATACATTTAAATTATTTGATAATATCGAAACAACATATTGAATTATTTTAAAAGTTTTTTATGAGACAAAAATACTTTTCTAAAATGGAATATGTAATAGCTTTTGGATCAACTCCTCATCACTAATGAATGAATGAACCTCGAATCGTAAAGACTCCACCCGTTATGAGGGCCAAAGCATCGGAAATTATTTTCATCTTTTCTAAGCATTAAACAACGTGATCCCTATATTTCAAAAATGGCATAAAAGTCATTAGAAAACGAAAACAAAAAAGCAACAAGAGAATCCCATTAGAATTCATTTCCTTAGATGAAATAATGTAATAATTAATTATCTTTGTTGTGAGTAGAGAGAGAACAAAGTTGCACCGGATCAATTCTGTGAAATAAGAGTAAATGAATGTAAACCAATTCTGCTAAATGATATTTGAGATATTTTAGCTTTCGTTTAGTTTCATAGAACAGTTTAGAGCTTTTCTTTATTTTCATTCATTTCGCATTAACACCATAAATTTCACATTTATTAAAAGCAACCCATCATATACGAAAAAGAGGAATCGTAATAAGGTTAAAAAAAAAGTAATGGTAAACAATATGTATGTAACAGAAAACTTTAAATTATTTTTCCCAACAGAATTGCAGCTAAGTGTCTTTGTTTGGAAAACATCAGCTTGTCTTGGATGAATTTTGGAAGATTACAAACTTTGAGAAGCAATTTTAAATATTATAGTTAAACGGGAAGCATCCAGAAAAAGAAGACCAAACTCGTGCAAATTTACCAAGACAATGCTAATTTAAATTTTTTTTTGATATGTGAAAATATTAAGGGTTCAAGTTTGTAAAAGGTTATTTCTGCTCACTTTCAACATGTCAGAAGGACGACTGGCTCGTGTTCTTAAAAAACGTGTTCCTGGAGAGCATTTTCGTGGAGAAGAAGATGAAAAACGGAAGAATCTCTCCATAGTTGCTGTCGAAAAGCATATGCGAAGCTTCGCCAAAGCCTTTTCTAGCCATTACACAAATATTTATGAAAATCTATCTTGAAAAGTGTAAAAATGATTAACACCAATATGTTAACAACGTACGTGTATACGGGAAAGCCTTCAAAAATGCCTTTAATTTGCACTTTCATCAATCTAAAAATAAACTGTGATTTCTGAGGACTTAATCACTCATATTAACAATGACCATTCAATTGAACTGATGTACTTTCATATGAAACACATTATAATTATGAATTACTTGTATGCATGTTTCAAAATATATTCATTATTTGTCCATTTTATGAGTATGAAAATAAAAAATTCTTGAATAATCCTCTGTATGAAATACTTACATATTATATATGTAATACATACGTCAATTTTTTTAAAGCATCGTCTTTTCAGAATATTAATTCAGCAAAATATATATCGAAACAAAATTATTTATTTTGAAACTGGGAGGGAAATCAAAAATTAATAATGAGAAATGTTGATTTTTCAATGGTCGTACGAAATTATTTATCTTGAGATATAACTATCCTGAGACAAAAAAAGTGCCAGTAAATCTTTTCGAAATTTTGCATCGATACTTTTAAATATGTTAAAATATCTCGATAAAAAAAAGGGTCTTATGTCAGTAGAAATTCTTCTTCTTCCAAATTCATTACTTTTTTTGATTATTTGAAGAAATCTGCTGTCAAAGTCCAACAAACACGTTCAGAGGCTTTTGGTGATGCTGCTCCACATCCCAATTGCCGGTTTTGGGTTCAACGGTATAAAAATGATGACCCAAATTGGCTGAAAAAGACAGTTTTCGGCCACTTATTGCAATATTTGTCTGTGCCGCACGAAAGGAAAAGTCTCCAACATCTAGCGTACTCACCAGACACGGCGCTTCCGGATCGCTGCAGCATGGCTTGGCTGGCACGCGGGTCGTTATGCGGATCGTTCCCATAAGTTCTTTCGACATGATATCGTCATCTCGCCAAAAATATTGTAAAATGTTGCGGAAAATGATGGAAACTTTTTCGATTAATACATATATATAGTGTACACTAATTTTCCACAAAATTTTTGCAAGCACTTACTTAATAAAAAAACTCGAATGATTTTATTTGCTTTAATAATAATTTGAAATTTATTGTAACTTATTATGTATTTTAATTTATTGAAAAATTATGCATCCGCGATCTTTCTCACCTTAAAGGTACCTTTAATAATTTTCATTCGCGTTGTATTTACCTTGCTCTTCGTTTAACATCTTTTGTCGCTGTTGACGCAAACGATTACGTAATTGTTGTTGATTCTTTTGACGAAATATCTCTTTGCTTGCCTCCTTGATCGCTTCGTAGATTTTCGCTTGTGACATAATTTGCTTTTGAACATTTTCCACTGCCGGCTCGGCATTGACATCAAAGAGATCGGAAAGACCTTCGGCTACATAATCATTATTAAAGTTATTTTTCTCGGCCTCGATTGGATTACGTTTTATAATAGGATATGGTATACGTTCAGAAGTGCGTTTCTTACCGCAACCTTAATAAGAAATATAGAAATATAAAAAATAATAAATTTTTATAAAAAACTTTTCTCTTCCCTTTTACCTGTGAAAGCATTACAAAAAGGTCGCTTCTCATAATTCCATTGCATACGACGATCTAACTTATGCTAATAATTTCAAGTATATGTAATAATTAGAAAGAAATTTTATCATTTATATTTCTCATTTTAATTTCTCTTACATCAGCTAAATTATCAATTGGTAGGGCAGCGCCCGAACAGCATAACACACAATACCACAATATCAGCGCTAATGTCAATGCCATCTTTTCCCAAAATCTTTCGGAACGTTTTCGTTTTTATTTAAAAAGAAAATTTATTTATTTAATTTATTTTTTCGTTACTCTAGAATTCTTCTCTATCTTTTTTACACAACCTTTCAGTTCCACGTTTAAGAGACGTTTGATTTGTAATTATTAAACGCAATACATGTTAATGATTTTACAAGCCGCTCGGTCAATCTCTGGATAGATTTTTTCTATTTTCTTGATTTTAAATGTAAAACCATTAGGTAGCAATGGCAGTCAATGTTGAAGATGATAATGGTATTCTTGTTGGTAGTATGTGGTTTCATAAAAGAAACAAGTGAATGTTCAAAGGATATCAAGCTGCGCAAGTAAAATGCTTTTTGGTGGCGATTATGTTCAATGTTAATAGCTTTATAAGCGAAGTACTTTCAATGCCTCATATAGCCTTGTGTACGTGTAAAGATTTGTCGTGGATTGTTGGAGATTTTCTAAACGAAATATATATACGTCCTTGTTAAGTTCTTATAAATTTTACTCGAGGCATGTAAGCCGCTCGAAAATCATAATTTTTATGTGCCATTTCGTTCCCTATTCCCCAAATCTCATTAATACGTGTCAAAGTTTCTATCTCCGACTGGTCATGGCGATGTGGGTGTGCACGCGTCCATTTTCCAAAAGCTTAAAAAAACTTTCAAGCATAAAGATTATAGAAGAGGGATTACTTAGGAAGAAAGAAACAGAATCTTACCTTACTTGGCGTCTACACTTTTATTAAACGCGTTGTAACAAGCTTGATCCACACCACAATCCGGCGATTAAAGCCTTACACAGAGGATATAAAAAACATCATGTATTGAAATATATTACTGGCAAGGAACTGCAGACTGTACCAGATGTCCTTTTATAATGAAAAGAGAGCAACACTTTATATTATATAATTTATCGGGACTGATCTACTTCCACTGCAAGATCAAAAAACTTTATCATTGATCGACTTATGCGGTTATTTCGAATTATTTATGAAAACAGATTTAACGTAAAACAAGTAAAAATATTGTAGGGGGCCTTCCTCCAATTAAATATCATACACCGCATCGCTTAATACAGTTATTGATGTAACGACTTTACAAAATAAAGCGTTATTTGGGAAGGGGTCGTGGAAGTGATCCGATCGAAACAATTTTCAATGGCATACATTCGTCGGCACCAGATTTTCTTCAAATATAATTTTGTTGAATAAATTAGTACAAGACGTATACGCAGGCGGGCAAACTTAGATTGCTTCAGAAAGAAATTTTAAATCTATCGCTACAGTGAAGATGGAAGTCCTTCTAGCACTTGCATAAATTCGTTTTAACTTAATATACTCTAGTACTATAAGTTGTGTAAGGTATAAAAAGTTAAAGCGTCAAGTAAGACCGAGTGATTACTAAACGTCCTACAGCCTTTCGTTTAAAACAACTCTTTGCCTATCTTCGTCGCAAAATATCAAAAAATAGGCTTTCTTGCCATATAAAGGCTTGGTTTTTTGTGAGAACCTTTAGTCTCCAGATCCAAACTTAATAAATCATTATTTTTGGACTATTTTTCATTATTAAATATTGGAACTAAAGTCCTGCTGTCAGCAAAAAAATGGTTTAAACTGATCCCCTGTTTGCCATAGTAAGCAAAAAATACAATTTTTGTCGTGAAATATTAAAAATTTCAAGTTTTTTCATATAATGAATTTTTCAAAGTATGGAGCAGGGTCGTAAAAATAGTAGTCCGATCTAATCGATTGTTAGTAGGGCCGACCCTTTAATAAAATCTTATTAGTACACTTTTAGGTTCAATAATAAAAATACGTGAATAGATTTCTGGCGGACAGACTTTCCTGAATCGATTCAGAATATGATTCTAATTGGTATAATAAAACAATGCGTCTTTCCTAAGTCATTCTGCATTTTGCATAAACTCAACCGTGCGTCATATACCTTTGCCGGCATTATTATAACCATAGATTTCTTCCTTTCTCTTCTTAAACTCCACACCACTTGTGGTGCAAGGGTACATAAAGTCTGTGCGTATGTATGCAAGAACCGGCAGAACTTGCGATAGTCCCATCTTTTATTATACTAAGCTTGTCTGTCCGTCTGTTGATATGTCTGTTCCGGTTTCTTGTGTTCAACGATAGGTGACAATTTTTGAGATATTTTCATGATATTTGGTACACTGATATGCTTTGGACGAACGCTTTTGAAAATTGTTCATATCGGATCACTCCAAATAGAAAGCTTCATTTTGAAAAATCGTTACAAGAATAATTTTATTAAATGAAGTCGTGTAGGGTATACACTATAGTTGTTTTCATTTAGTTGTTTCACATACGTCACAGCGTCTTGTTACCAAAAAAGTTTTATACTCTACATCGCCTACGGTGCAGAGTATATTAAATTATGCGGACGTATGTAACAAAGAGAAGGGTTTAAGATGGATTCACCGGTCACAGTTATTTTCTGAATCGATTAGAGCCTGTCGGTCCTTCTATCCGTTTGATGTCTGTCCATGTAAATTGATGTGCAAGCTATACATTGCAATATATGGCATATTTTGATGAAATTTGGTACACTGACGTGCTTTGACCCAAGGACGAATGCTACTGAAAATAGTTTGGATTAGTCCACTATTAGGAGCACTCTCTATATAACGATCTATTTTGAAAAAACATTATACGAAAGAATAATTGCAATTTTCAAAATTTCTCGACAAAATTTGCTCCATAATAATATTTTGACATTCTAGGTCAATATGAAAAATTTGGTTTTTTTCAAGCCTGTGCATATAACCGCTCCTAATCTGATATCAACCGTACGGAGTTTGGATCACTTTTAGATAGCATCGCATATAAGAATCCTTTCATTTTATGAAAATTATCCTTACGGATGAAAATAATATGCAACTTTTGAGTAAGAACTATATCAGGCAAAGTGCTTACTTATGAGAAGAGTTAGAACTTACGCACATTTTCCAATAATTGCCCTCAAGTCTCCTTAGGATCAGGAAAGCCGAGTGAGTGAAAGACAGGCACTGCATATGTAATGAAAATGTACACAATAACAACGTCACAGGTAATGTTTCTTACACTATTATAGGACAAATCCTCAAAAGTTTCGAGAAAAGACGCCCCCCAAAAACACAAAGCATTTGCTTACGAAGCAAATACGAAGCAAAGTTTCGATTTTTTTGTAGCGAACCGCATTGCTTGGAAAATGAATCAAAACTTGAAGTGCTCATTCCTTTAGAACGCATTGTAAACGTACACTCCAACACTATATAGAATATAAATAAAATTTATTTCTTTATAAAATTTTTCATATTTGATGCGAATATATCTGCTAACCTACATAAACAATGAAATGAAAAATGTTGTTTTAAGTAAATTTGAAATGAACACACACACACACACGCACGCATCTACATACATACACGCATACTTATATATATATATACAATATAAACATTAATAATATAATCGGAATGGGTGATGACTGTACGTGTTCGTGTGTGTATAGTTCATATGTACAGGTCCATTTGTATGCAGTAACTTACAAGTAGTTTGTGAAAAACGCGTGCAATTGACCACCACGCGACTTCTATACCGGTAGCCAAAGAGTCTATTTATAAGAGGCTGCAACGACGACAGAGGCAGAAAGAGAAATTGTGTGTAAAACAAAAAGAAAAAAAATAAGTAAATAAGGAAAAAGCATTTTTTCTCAGAAAACGCGCTACGCCATGATATTTTCCGAACTTTTACGCGACAATTTCGAAATCAATTTCAAAACGAACGGTGGTAGTATTGTACAAAGCGGCGGAGAGTTCATAACGAATAAAAAAATAAAATAAATATTAACAAAATTTATAAAGCAAAAAATAAATAAATAAAATAGTAGAAATATTAACAAAAAAAAAAACAAGCAAAAAAAAAATAAAAGTGAAGGAAAATATTTTTTTAAAAATTATTAAAAAAAGAAAAAAAAAACAATTTAGAACAACTAAACTAATTTTCTTACTCTTAACTTGATTAAAAAGTGAGTAAAATTGAAATCAATTTTCAAATAAAAATCAAACCAAAAAAAAAGGGAAAATCTACCTCATAGGTGTAATTAGTTTTCAAATATTTTGTAATAAATTTTTACAAAAAAAAAAATATCTAAGAATAGCAGCATTTCAACGCTCTCTAGTCAGTTCAGTTATGTGTTTCTTCTTCTTCTTTGTTCTTTTTTTTTTTTTCTTACAAAATTTTTTCTGTACCTCGCGTCCATTGCATCCATCTATCTCAAATGTTCTTGTTTTCAGTTTACTCTTTTTTTTTTTTTTTTTATTTTACCTAAAAATAAATATTTTATATTTAGAGAGTAGTTTTTTTTTTATTTTTTTTTTTTCCAAATTAAAAAAAAAAATTTCTCACCAAAATTTTTGGTTAAAAATTTAAAAAAAAAAAAAAAAAAAAAAAAAAAAAAAAAAAGGATCTACGAGAAATTTATTTAAATATTTACCAAGAATGCAAAACATTTGTTATATGTTTTTCCGTGTAAATGCATAAAAATCAAATAAAAAAGTTTTAGTATACATCTCCGCCTCCATTTATTTACATTTACGCGCTAAATATGTATAAATGTACCTCAGCGTTTTATAAATGTCGCGATCCAGAAAGATATATTAATATTAAGGATACTTTTTGGAGCAATCCAAGCATATCCGGGGTCCAGTTGTAATATTTACTGTACCTTAAGCTGTTGCTGTGGCTTCGCAGTTTATTTTAGATTTCTTCACTTCGTAAAGGGAGAGTGAGTAAAGCTTAACAGGCACTTTATAAAACATTCGCAATTAATACAATGAGAGTGATATAAGCACCTCGAGGAGGCTCGATTGGGATGGTTGAAGCCTTTTTTATTCTATTGTGTACGAGAGCGCATCTGTCTAGGAATCCATTTGGAATATTTCTGATTATAGCAAAGCATACTGAAAAGTGCCGGGCATTTATTTAGCTTACAGAGAGCTAAGATAACAAAAATTGAAAGTTGCATTGAAAATTTTGCCAAAGCCATGTTTTCGCTTGGCAATGCGAGATATGAGCAGTTGCTGAATAATACCGCAGGATTCAAAGCAAAAGTTAACACAAAGTTAGCGTCGAAGTGGTATCGACTTCATTAGATGGTTACAATAGCGCCTTTCGGGTGTCCGTGACAGAGCTAAACGTGCTTGACCTTAAAAGAACAGCTAGAAAGTTTTGTAAAACTTGGAGTTGTCTCGAAAGCAGTTGAGCAGAAAACCTATAACAAGCTAATGCTTACCTAGTAGAACAGTTTATTAATTGGAAAGTGCGAAAATATTTACAAACAGTAGAAAATGGCGAAGAGAAGAAGAAAAAAGGTAGGGAGCATCAAACAAACAGAAACAAACAACATTCTTAAGGTCAGTAAGAGATTAAATAGAACGCCTACAATAAGCTAACGCTCACCTAATATAGCAGTGTATCAATTCGAAAGTGCTAAAGTACTTATAAGTACTTTTAGAAAGTAACTAAGAGAAAAAATTGGTCAAGAAGCATCAAGAGAAGGAAGACCGACATCATTGTTTGCAGAATCAAGACCTGACATCCGCATCATTAGTAAATGAGTAATAACCTACTAGGAGAATACAGCTAAAGCATTATCAAAAGTTCTCAATTTTTTCTGGAATAGAAACCTATCGGAAGGAAAATGGAAAGATTCGCCAAAGGTCACAGTCACATTGAAATTTTAATTGAAATGCAAAAAAAACCGCTTTAGACGAATTGCAATCTATAATGGATTTCAAGAATCGAAAGAGCGGATAACGGATGAGTTTTGAAAACTTACTTATCATATTTCAAGTCCATTCAATGAATAAAATGAGCCCGCAATCCCTAAAACTTGCTCTTTCCGCACTTCAGCAAAGAGGAACTCATCTTTTTTTTCTGGGACACGCCCACTTTTATGAATTTGTTGCAAATGTGATGTTATCGGCATATTTCGACGAAAATCGAATCAATTTAATGACTACATTTTCCGAATCAAAGCACTAAACAGGAAGTTGATGTTTGGCATAAATATTGCTTGATCGGGTTAAAACGTGGACGCAACTCGTTAGCACACACGCCCACAAAGCAGAGCAAACTGAAATTACCTCGGAATACAGCGAAAATTTTTTCTTATAACTTCCGATCTTGCGGATATCTTTCTGAAAAATTGCTTTCGAAATATTGAGCAGAACCCCCTGCATATTCGACGCAAAAATGGTCGCTATTAGCTTATTAAGAGGTTCACAAATAACGACAAAATTTTAATTCCGACTTATTTTCCATTAATTTTCCATTTATTCAAACACAGGTTGGATTGGATTTTTTCCTTAATTGCGTACATGTTAGTAAACTGATTGGAGCCATTTTTCGATGGAACTTGGAAATGATCCTAATAAATATCAGAATCGTAAATTTTTGAAAATATCTGCGTAGGGTTTTTTTTAGATAAAAATATGAAACAATTGTCGATATTTTCGGAACTTGTTTTAGTTTGGTTTACATTATAGACGTATACGGAAAGATCGAAGGATCAGGGTTACATGTATTAATTAACATTAAATTCTGGATTGAGTGAAGCATGTCCGTTTGTCTGTCTGTATGATATTTGTTGCAAACATTCTCCTGTCTGCAAAATTGACTTCGACTATCGACATCAAATTCTGCAGAAGCATTGGAAATTCCTGTACACAGGTTGGTATTGCACATGGTCCAATTCGGTCGAAGGGCACGCCTATAGCAGTATGTATGCTAAGAATATCTCTGTTTTACAAAAGAAATACAAAATAGATTTTTTGCTTCATTTCTCATTAACTAGAGCGGATAATATTTATAAATGTTTGGCCATACATTTTATGACCGATGTTATAGTAACTGCGCACAAAAGAGAAAAATTGACCATGCCTACCATTTAAATTGCAGGCTCAAGCTTCAATACCCATTTATAGATTCTTCGCCAAATTCTTCTTCTTACAAAATCTGAATGCACATAAGCATGTCCCTCTGTTCGTCTGTCCCTCTGTACGTTTGCGCAGCTGTGTAGTATATATGGCAGGCATTCTCTCGTTCGCAAAAACCAAGAAACCGTCTGTGAATTTGTAAAGGAATTTGAAAATGACCCAAACCAGTCAAAGGTACGTCTGCAATGCCAACATGCCTTTGCACCAAAAACTGATTTCCTTGATTTCCATGTTTTTTTTTTTTTTTTTGCCTGTGACACATAACCAAACACCAAATAAATTTCCATTTTTATCTTGAAAATAGAAAAAATCAACTGCGCCAGGCCAGAGTATGAAAATTTAATTTTTTTGCCCTTTTTTAGTTTTTTTTTAGGATAACGGTGATGGGTACAAAAGATTCGGTCACGACCAAATATCATTTTCTTATTTGTTTATACTCATACTCATACTCATCGGCCGGGCAATGTTTCTGCCAAATTTTAACTTATCATCTTTATTTTTGGTACGACGATGGTTCACAAAATTGACCCATTAAATTGACGGGTTTCCGTGAAGTGTTAAAAGAAAGAAAAATAAATACAAATTTTGAAAAAATCATAATTTTATTTTTAAAGAATTATGCTTAATAATTCATTATATTATTATTAATATTATTACTATTTTTGTTGTTATTATTAAGCGCATCTAACCTATGGCACATAAGTTACGCCAAATATTAATCGAAACAGAAAAACACATCACTATGTGTAGTTTTTTTTTTTTTCTTTTTTGATGATGTTGTTCTTTCTACTAATTTTAGATCAACGACACCAATTTTCATATATATATATATATATATATATATATATTCATGCTTATACATTTATATATAATAAATTAAGAAAAAAGAGGAAAAAATGTCAGATGCAAATAATGAGACTGTTGTAGCACAAACGCCTCCACAAAATGGTAAAGAACGTTCCAAGTCAACAGAAGAAAAAGAAATACCGCGTGAACCGGCATTGGTATGCAGAGATATAAATGTAAGCTGACTAAAATTTATTTAAAATATAAAAAAAGATAGAATTAATTAAATTAATTAAATTTTATTTACTACCGCAATACGATATGGAAAACGTTCTATCGAATCATATAATTAGATAAAGACTGAATTGGAATGTCTGGTTAAATTGTTAGATGGTAAGATTTACAAAGACGAAGAAGTGTCCATAGAAGAATTACATCAGTATTTGATTGAGGATGAAGGATCTTGGGCTTTGGGTGATAATTTTTTGGTTTTTGTTCAACGCGTATTACGGGAGCAATCATTTTCCCCCGACACTCGTGTTCATCTAATACGTACATTGGCATACGCCGCTCTCAAGGACGACGTGATTATTATTTTACATCAAGACCGTAAAGATCATACACTTATGAATTATGGTTACGATATAGAGAAACATACACCGGAAGAACAACAAGCTTGGGCTCTATTCGTAAGTTTCTTTTTTTTCTTTTCTTTTCCTTTCTCGAATAATGAATTAAAATGTACTTACTCTCTCTCTATCTCTCTCTCTCTCTCTCTCTGTCTCTCTCTTTGATTCATAACGAATAGATATGTAATCTTTTCGAAAATGTTGGTCCATCAGAATGGTTATTATATATCTCGGAATGGGAATATAATGGTCAAACTTTATCGAACATCCGTGTCACAACCAAAGTTGTCGTTCATAGTATTCTATCGAATTGCCTTTTATTGAAGAATACCGGCACCATGATGCTTTATAATATAGCCATTAAAGAAGTTAAGACAGTGGTAAGTGTTAAAGGACGTTTGGCCTAAAAATTATTAAAGCATCTTATTTTTTTTTTTGAAAACAGGTGTTTGATGACGTCGCCGTTGAATTAGCCATGGCTATATTGCAGTTCTTCCAAAGTGGCCCAGATGAGGATCAAATTTTCCGTGCCTGCAAAGCATTGGTTAAATTTTTAGAAGTAAGTGCTTAATAACGGGTCTTGCAATCTTAAAGCCTTACGACCTTTCTATGACTACCTTTTCAAAAAAAGTACCTCCAGGCAGGTGATATTTGATTTTACTTAAAGAATATCAAAAAAAAAAAAAAACTAAAAAGGAGGCAAAAAATACTTTTCCAAAGAAACGAAACTGAAGCACCCTACAGGGTTAGATAAGGGATTCTCTTCTGAGCACTATAAAAATATATAGAATAGTCCGCATTCCATCTTGGTTAGCGTATACCGGAAACTGGCTCTATCGTGCCTCTATAAGGATTTTATAACGAATCAGAAAACGAGGCCAGACGACGTTTACGTTGCTCACTTCCTCTCTTTGCGCGTTATCTTTGAAAATATTTTAAACACAAATAGATCAACGAAGTGCAATAGCTTTAGGCAGCAAATGGACAGAAAAAGTTCTGTATCCTCAAAAATCTAAAAGCTTCGTTGCTGAATGCTTTGCCTTAACCAAACTGGATTGCTAACGAAGTGCAAAAAGAAGCAGAGAGTTCTTCCAAGGGTTTCAGAAAAATCTAGATTTCGGTTTAGAGATCTTAAAGTGCGAGTTTAACTATTTATTTATCTGTGTGCAACATTAAGTTTGTTATGTCGCAGCCACCATTCGAACAATGCTGTTTTTAGAATTTTAGAAAACCTCTCGTTGCATATATGAGAAACTGGCTTTATTTGCACAAGCAGTTAGTTTTCGAGTTAGTAGGACTGTAAGTACAGATTGCACACACCCACATTATTAAACGATGCTTACGTAATTCACTTAGACGAAAGCGAGAGCTTACCGGAGCTGGATTGGTAACGAATAATAAAAAAAGCGCACAGAGTCTTTCCAAACGCTTTGGAATTAGATCTAAAATTTCTATGCTTAGAAGCAAAACCTTTCATTTTTTCCTAGAGAATACCGGAAATAGGTTTCATCACTTTCGAGTTAGTAAGATTGTAAGTACGGATTGTAAATAATAAAATCCAAAGATGTTTATGTCGATCGCTTTATATCCTTTACCGCTACCCCAGAAAATGTTTCGAATACAAATAAGTCAATGAAAAGTAATAGGAAGGTAAGAGAGTAAACAATTTACTTTGCTCATCCGTATCGCTTTGCCCAAACTGGCTTGCTAATGAAGCGCAAAAAGAAAGCACAGAGTCTTTCCAAAATCTGAGAATAATGTAGAATAAGACCTGGATCTGAAAGTGTACGTTTGACTATCTATGCTTACACTGTCAATTTTATCCACTATGGCCACAGCCATCATTCGAACAATTAAATGTTGCAAACTAATCGCACTTTACAATGCGCTTTCACTCTTCTCATTGCTTCTTGAACATCGTATTAAAGAAAAAAAAAAAAAAAATTGCCATGACCATGTTGTAGCAAAGCAAAGCCGACCCAGACCGTGTAAATATGAAGGCATTGATCGATATGCAACATGTGCAAGCATTCAAAACGCGATTATAGCGTTAATCTAATAGATTCACATGTTCTTCAATATCATATTTTCCTATTAAATATTTATGCAATTATTTATTAAAAAATTAATATAAATTAAAAATATTTTCTTTACATTTTTCTTTTTCTCTTCTCTTCTCTCTTTTCCTTTTTTTTTTTTTCTTTTTTAAATATTTTTCTTATGCTTTAGGTCTCGCCCGATGTGGCGGCTATTATACAAATGATTGGTCCGCATCCAAAACAATTTGCCGGTAAGAGTGAACGTTGCGATGACCTCATCAAAGCTATCAGTCGTAAAGCTCCCGTTTGAACAATAATAAAATATTAAAAAACATGTTTTTTTTTTCTATTTCTTTTGGTTAAATCACGAGATTTACATATATTTTTAAATTTTGTAAAAAAAAAAAAAAAAAAAAACAAATCTTTTTTTAAGAAATAAATTTTAATAAATCGAAAAATAGAAAAGTTTAAATACTTGAATCCTTGCAACAAAATGGCAAAAATGTTATCGAAGACTTAGATGCTCTTAATTGCAACCAATGCTTTTGATTGGAAACAAACATTTCCGATGGCAGTTGCGTGTCCTGAGCATTAGCGGCCGAGTCACCTGCGAATCAAGAAAAAAAAATTTTTTTTTTTTTTTTTTCAATAATTTTTAATAAAATTCTGCTATTTATTGTTTATTCACCTAATCGTTTTTCAAATTTCGGTGTCTGAGCTATGGATATAATATCTTCCGGTTTGCGTAATAAAATTTTACCTACACCTTTGCACATGCGTAATACCTCGTGATGGCTTAACTTTTCTAAATGCTCAGCATCAAGGAGAGGGCAACTTAATAACCATTCGCGTACCTCATCGAAATCATTAAGCAAACGTACGGCACCGTTAACACTAAAACGTATTTGTCGTTGATAAATAAAATCTAGCCAAGCTTCACAGATTAATTTCAATATTAATTTCAATATTGAAATATCCTTTGTCGCCTTAATGCATGGTAAGTAAATCTGATCCAAAACATAGCCAACGTAATCATTTTTTTTTTTGTCGTCATCGAAAGAAGCTTTTTGCCAGTATTCGGTAGGTGGAAAACATAGAGTAAAATTAGCTAAGCTTAACAGACGACAGATATCGGAAAGTATTTGAACACACTCCTCGGTGGTTTTCTAAATATATATATATATATATATATGTATATATATAGCAACGAAATTATTAAATGGTACCACGTTTCTCATTAATCTATAAATTGCTTGCCTTTAATTTATCTAAATTAACATTAACTTCGCAAATTAATTTGGTCCTCAAAGCCACACAGACCAGCATCAATATATCACTAAGATCGGCAGTAAGTTTAGGCAGTTTAAACTTTTCAAATAATTTCAAACATAAGCGAACATCATGCTCGTGTATCTGGAAGTAACGGTGCATTTTCCATTTACCACATAACTTTTTCGATTCCTCTTTAACCCATATACGTAGACAATGAACTGTGTGATCTGAAAAAGCAGCAAAAAGAGAGAAAACACTTACTCTTGTTAATAAAGTGTTTCATTGGTAAGAGTAAAAAAAATTTACGGAATATTGACAATAATAATTAAAAGGGATTAGTGAACATATGGCGCAAGGTTGCTTTAATTTTTTTCGCTAAATAATCTACTTCAGTCATACCCACATTTAATATCGTGTTCCTTCTTTAATTAAGTTTTTCCGCTTTAAGGCCTCCTCCCACCGATTTCAATCCTTCAAAGTTCGATTTTTTTTTTTTACATCTAAACAGTGAACGAAAGAAAACTGTATTCGGAATATCTTATACTCATCGCAATTATCCTAAAAGAGATTAGCAAAAAAATTCGGCAGGGAGAGCCCTGAGTGACTGTTCCCTATTTTTTTAGTATAAAAGTGATTTATAACGTGTATCTGCCGTAATAACGAGCAAAAAAATTAGACCTATACTCGAGTATGCCTCTGTTGTGTGGTCTCCTTCATATACGAGCTATGTAGAGTCAATTGAATGTGTTCAAAAGCAATTGTTGTTGTTTGCCCTTAGGAATTTGGATTCGGATCCGATTGCCTCTCTTCCCCCCTATACAAATAGGTTGCTTCTGTTGTACTCACCGCCTCTCAAGAAACGTAGATTTGTTCTTGGCGTTTCCTTCGTAATCAAAGTAATAAAGGGTGCTATTGACTCGTCTGCATTACTTGGTGAAATAAGCTTTAATGTCCCTAACCGCTTCTCCAGGCATTTTCCCTTGGTTAAGCTTCTTAGTCAATGTAAATGTAATTATGAGCTTTTTAACCCGCTCAGAGTTGTTTGCGAGAACCTAAATGATGTCTATTACTTATTCTCATTATCGGATTCTTTAAAATCCTTTAAAGCAACATTGCTTAAAACGCGTAATTTACCTATGTCGTACTTAAACTAGCTCTTAACCTTAAAAAGTCATTATGAGCCGAAAATTAATTGTTGTTAACTATTTATAGATTGCCAAGCTTATGCATGTTTGCGATGGCTTAGATGTTCATTTGCAATTTGGTCCTGTACCGCTTGCGGGTGTGGCTCTATGCCAGTTGTGTACATGCTTTTTTTCTTTCTTCTTGTTTTTTCTTTTTTTTCCTTCTTAAGTTTTAATATTAATTAATTTAAGATTTACTTTAAGAGTCAATTGAACTCGACTGTCAATTTCTTTTACTTGAGTTTTTTGTCTAAGTACAATAAATAAATAAAATAATGGATCTTTTAACCTATTAATTGCTAAAATATCCAATGGTTTTTTAATTTTCTTACCGATCCTATGTAAAATCGGTATTTGTTCGGCCACCGGCAAGAGACTAGAATTGCTCACATCGTCACTATGAAAATAATTATTACTCAAGTCGATTAAATTACTAAATATCGCTATCCATACTGTACCGGTATTGGTACCAAAATTCTAAAAAGAAACATAAGCAAAAATTTTTTTTAATTACACATTATTTCCTCAAATTTGAAAAATAAGTTTTTTACATTCGCTGGCGAAGTGTTATGACTATCGAGAAATTGATCTACATTGCGCTCGTTCGCTGACGCTGTCATTAAAGTTAAACGGAATAAACGATCCCATAAATTATTGCTTACAAAATTTGTTAAAATCTCCGCTACACCTTGCAAAGTGGAATAAATGGGTTCAGGGACATCTGAAAGATTGGAAAAGAAAATGTTCTTCCTAACCTCAAAATAAAAAGAATTTTCATTGCATTTACCATTAACGTTTTGCATAAACAACCATTTACGTATAGAGTTGACATGCGCTAGAGAATAACACGATATAGGCGTGTCTATCCACCATAGGATAATATGATCTAAAATAATACCAACATAAGACCACATTAGGCGCATACCTTGCAAAATGAACTCATGCAAATTTTCATTCGACGCTTGACCTGTAAAGAAATATTGTTATCGTTAAGTTGTCGAGTAAGTGTCTTCGTGAACTTACCAAATATAGTCGGAGATATATCATAAGCTTTTTCAATGAATTGTTTTACAAAGGAACGCTCATTTTGCAAAAAATATTCAATATGTTTACTACGCATATGAACTGCCGAACTTCCTTTTGTTGAACTAGACCCTGGCTCAGGTGTTAATGTTAAAGCGGTGTAATCTCTATTCGTTTGCTCTGTATAAAATTGTTGGAAATCGCCATCGCTAGTAAGATTTAAAGTTAATATGCGTAATATTTCCAAACTAGAGCAATTCGATTCGTTGGTGTCGCGCCAAGCCTCCTGATCGTTCATATTAAATAGGCCGAACATTAGATCCAAAGAATTCTGTTCGATGCGTTGCTGTGAAACTAACTAAAAACAAAGCAAGTGAAAACACTGTAGCGGAAGGCGGCGCACCATTAAGTACCCTACAGTTATCCATATAAAGATAGAAAGACAGAAAGACATACGGGCAGACTAACTCAGATCAACGCAAAAAGTGATTCTGAATCGACCGGTACAATAAAAGCTGTATCTATCCCAAGTCCTTCTGGGTGTTGCATACATCCACACAAACTTCATATACGAAAATTTTGAATTCGCCGCCATCTATAATATTCTTCGATTTATATAGGACTAGATATGAAAAATTAAAAAATTTTTTTTTGGCCTTTTAATTTCCTTTGTCTCGTCAAGGAGTTCGATTTTTTAAAGCCTTGTAAAAAATCCTTCTCCGCAACAGATATTTGTACTATTTACACCGCCTTAATCCGGCTTAACTTAGAGTATAACCCGTAAGTGTGCATCGAAGCCTCCAAAACTTTCATGGAGGCAGACGAACGCTTGCAGCCCATGGGCCATGAATGACGAAAGGATGTCTAAAACTTTCGATATCATCGAGCATTGGCGAAATGTGAACTGTTTGATGCTTATGTGTAGACACGTGCAGTTCAAGTGTTCTACAGAAATAAAAGGGATATGTCCAGCAATTAAGTCCGCTGACAGCTTTCGTCAGCATTCCCACCCACCCGTCTTGGTAGTGCCTGCATACCGTACAACACGCTACCGCAACTCGTCGATGTTCAATCAAACTGCCCGCCTCTGAAACCATCTACCAACCGCGGTCTTTCCCACCGTCCCTGATTACTGCTTTTCTGCACTGTCAGTTAACGCACTGCTTTCTCTTTGCAAAACTACCACAATCTCAAATGTTCCCTTATAGCTCTCACCTGTAAGACAGAGGCAAAGTCTACGCGTTTATAAGGTAACAATAAAGCCGGATACATATTACTGCAGATATTCGCATTCATTTGTTCATCCGGCGATTTTGGCGATCCATTTGCTGTAGAGTCTACTAAAGGCTTACGGCATTTATTATAGAGCTCTGTTATCTGCAAAGCCCAATTCATCCACACCTCAGATTGTAAAGATTTACGTAAAAGAAAACTTAACTTTATTCAAAAGAAAAAAAAAAAAGAAAAATAAATAAATAAAAATCTTCTTAACAATATCTACAATCAATTCAACTCACGGTTTTTTTGAGAACAAAAGTCAGTTGACAAAACCGTCTATCATTTAATTCCGTAATGACATGAAATTTATGCATTAGCAAAGTATTATAAGGGCTACGTTTGATTTTCTTCGATAATGATTGAAAATCTTTATTCATGGTATTATCTTTTAAACTCCAATATTGATCAATAATCTGTTCACATTCGTCTAGTAAAGTGTCCTAAAAGTGTGAAATAAAATTTTGAAGGTTTCAAAATATAATTTAATCATATCATAAGTATCGTACGTGTTCACTGAATATATCCACTTTAACGTCGATAACTAAGCGTTTCGTAATACGCCTTAAATCTTGACCCAGTTTTGTAAGTTCCGCAAACATGTGCATAGGTTGAGATTTATTACGACAATACCATTTCGGCGTCGTACTCATCGCACTTTCTTTTTTCTTTTTTTTTTTTGTTTTTCTATAAGAATTATTATTAATGGCAATGTTATTGATTACAATTTCTATTAATAATTTTTATAAATATAAGGATTTATTTATTTTTTTTTTTTTTTTCTTCTTTCTTTATAACAAAGGAGAAGGACGTGAATTGATTGACAAACGTTTATGGCATTTATTTAATCAATTTCCCTAACAATTACTAACTTCGCTTAGCAACCTTTCGAAATTGAGAAAAAAAAAAATTAAATAACTCAAAAATTGCATTTGCAGTCATGCAGTAAACGCCCGAGACTTTATTAACAATGTGATGCATGCATTGTACCATAAGACTTTAGGTAATTCATTATTGGTATTGCTAGAGCAACCAAATAGCGTTTCGTTCTCTTTGAATTTCATTTCACCCTACCTATGAAAAATATTACCCATCCACCGAAGAAGGATATTTCTAAAACAGTGTTGAAATGTTAAAATCGCTGTTTTTTTGTAACTATTCATTACCTCCGAAGAATTGAGTTTGATGCGAGTGCCCATGTTACAAGAACTAAAAGTTCCATTCACTGCATAAATACCGTGAGATAAGATCCTAAAGTGTCAGCATACGCCTTTCTCAGATCCAATGCGAGCAAATATTTTACCTGTAGCGTGCTCATTGTTTTGTGATAGTTCGTTTAAAATTAAAACTAATGAAATTCCCTTAAGAAAGATTCAATAATTCTACAATTTACTTAGGTGATATTCCTTACGTCTGCAACGCGATTATGTATGAAAAGAAATAGGGAGAGAAAGAAAGAGGGAGAGAGATATAGGAAGTTACCGTAGGCTGAAAATAATTTGCTTTTACCGAGCAAGCACTCAATCATATAACTGTTGGACACGCCTCCGTCTGAGAATTGAGCCCAAGTAATCGCTTACTTATTCTTTCGGCTTTCCTTTTTCTATTTATATCTTTGCAACAAACTTCAACTCATCAAATCTATGTCGAAAGTAACCGACAATTCCGTCTAACTTATGGTACAAGGATGCAGATACAATCAACACCCACAAGGACTCGACTTAGATCCGCCTTTCATTATACCAATCAATTTAGGATCACTTTTTCTATCGATCTAAATCTGTCAGTCCTGCCAGTCTGCTCTACCTGCTTGCAATTTTTGATATATTTGAATGAAATTTGATACACTAACGTGTACTGAAAATAGTTCGATTCGAACCACTTTTTCAGTAAAGCCTCATTTTGAAAAATCGTTCTACGAACAAATGTATGAAGCGAAATGAAATACGGTATTTAATGCTGAGCTGAGTCCCACTATACTGTTCACACCGGTTTTCCTTTAAAGATGCTTTGATTTTTCCATTTTCTAGCTGAAGAGGAAAAAACAGTATTTTCGCTGTGTGCGCCGCATTAAGCAGCGTAAGAGTCCGGGTCGATTATCTCCATCCATGTATTCTCATCTGCGTATCTTACACGCGAATTCTCGGAATACATTTTTATATATGTAGCTTATATGTTTCTATTTTTGAGTACATTTTCATGGCTCATACAATTATGTATGTTACATGCGAATACTTAGAATACATTTTTATATATGTAGCTTATATACGTGTTTGAGCGGGAAGACGATGGTCGTGTTCAGTGAAGGGATATGTAAACGGACAAACCAGACTGACAACTTGGGGTCTATGGGGAGACATTTGTGCGAACGGACTTGTTATCAGTAAGGAAGCGTTTTGCTTCCTTACAAGCTGAACCGATCCATCACCTGTTCGTGAAAGTCAGCAGTCCTATGAGTCCTTCAAGGATGGCGATTAAAGCTGAGCCAATCCATCCCCTATCCGTGAAAGTCACAAAAAAAACCCTATCAGTATAAGTTAACTAGTTAACTAGTCTATGATTACTTACCCTTGGCTGCTATGACACAACTGAAAGGCTGAGCGTGGTACGACACGCTTTTTTATAGTCGCAATCACCACCGCTGTCCCATGTACCATATGTATGGTATGCTATTAGAAAGGTCGCGATCGTCTAGTCGCGATAATGTTAAGTGATGGTTGTAGGTCAACAATAGGCTTAAACTACTTGAAAAGTAAAGAGAAATTATAGCTATATATAGCCTTAGCGGATAATGATCTAGAAATCGATGCAAACGTTTACGAGGACAATATAAATTTAAAAAAACGAAAATAATTAAAGCACATTAACATAATCTTATGGCACAAATACCTCTTAACTTTCGACAACGAACTCAAATTCGAATGTAAAAATAATGCTGATCAACGAATCGAAGCTTACATATTTACCAATTATTTTGCAAGGAAAAGGTTTCGATATGCGCTTTTATTATGCGCTGCCTTCAGAAGCGCCGCCTTGAGTCCAATGTGACTTTCTTACTTAAATTTTATAATGCGCTGACTACGGAAGCAACCCACTAAATTTCAGTAATCATAAAGTCGGAAATAACTTTTTTACTTAAAACTGTTATGTGTTGGTCGCTTCGCAATAGGGAACTAATGCGAGTTTCAGTAACTCCTACTATAAGTATATTACTAAAAATACAATTCCTCCACTGAGTCAAAAAATAGAATCAACTTTTACGTAAAAGTGGCCGATTTATAAAATTTACCTACTCTGCCTACAATTTGTGGATGTAATGGCATTACTTTAATGTATGTAAATGAAAGGCTTGTTGTTTTCAATTCGATTTTTTTATCTTTTGATTTTCTCGTATATATATGTATGTATAATTTTTTTTTTTTTTTTTTTTTTTTTGCTTTTTATTTATTTATTTCTTATTTTTTCCTTTTATTAACTATAATATGTAGAGTTTGATTTTTTAAAATTTTCTTCTTCCTTGCATTCTTTTCGCATATATAATCCTCACAATATTTATGTATATATGTATTTTCAAGTCATTCACACATTGCATACAAGTTTTCTTTCAAAGTTCGCCTCTTTACTTAATGCTTTTAATTTTTTTGTTTTTCTCTAGTAAATCTTAAATAAACGAAATGTAAATATACAACACATTTATTATTATTACCGTTATATTGTTAGTTTATATAATTAATTAATTATTTTCATTATTATTATTATTATTATAAATTGTTCTTGTTTAACATTTTCCTGGCTGTTTAGTTACGTTTCGCAGATTTGTATTTGTTTTATTATTATTCGTTAAGTATTTTTACTTGTAGTTGGTTTACTGTTTTGTGTTTCTGTATCAACTTTGACAACTTAAGCGAAAAAATTTGTTTTTGTTTTCTCTTCTCTTCTCTTCTTTTTTTTTTTTTTTTTTTTGTTTTTTGCTATCACAATAAATTGTTACAATTATAGTTTAGTTTAGGTTTCAGTTGAATGTTGTTTTTTTTTTTTTCTTACACTGCTGATAGAGTTTATTCGTTTTCCTTTTTATGTATGGATTTTTTTTTTGTCCTCTTATAACAATATATATGTAAATAATATTAGTTATATAATAAAATATTAAGTTTTGTATATGCCAACTATTTTTTTTTTTTTTTTGTTTGTCTATGTTGTAGATAGTAATTTTCATTTGTATTGGTATGGATTTTTTTAAAAATTTCTGTTTTTTGCTATTTTATATGTATATATATATATATATAATTATATATATATGCCTTTTTAAATGGTTTTCAATTTTCATTTTTATAATAATAATAATAATTACAATGATATAAACAAATTTTAAGAGAATGTTTTTTTCATTTTTTTTCTATATTTTATTTGTATTTTTGTAGGGATGTATGTATATGTATATGCAAATGTGTGTAATAGTGTAATTATGCAATTATTAAATTTTTTTTCCAAAATGGAAGTATTTATAAAAAAAAAAATTCTAATATTATTTTTGCTCCACACTGATTTTATTGGTTTAATAAAATATACAAATTAAAAAAAAACAAAAAAAAAAACAAAAAAGAAATACAATTAAATAAAAGCTAAAACAAACGTAAGTGAAAAAAACATTTTTTTCATATTAAAAAAACACTACTGCTTCCCTTGTAATTAATCCAAACTTTAAGAGTCGTTGTTTATATTTTATTTCCGGTTATTTATTTTATTACCCTCTTTTTCTTGGCTTTTCTATATATAACTAAATAAAAAATTAAAAAACATGAATTTTATTTAATATATTATATAAAACATTTTATATATATATTTATATATATAATTGTTATTTTTATAAATTCATTGTAATAAAAAATAAAAAAAATAAAAATCATGGACTTTTTTTTAGACCTCTGCTGCTTTATCATTCATATTATCATTAGTATTATTATTTTTTGTAATTGTAGTAGCACTAGTAGTAGTAGTAGTAGTTGTAGTAAGATTAGTAGTTACATCTGTTGTAGTATTACTAATAATTTGTTGCTCTTCAAGAGTTGGAATATCGTCTTGTATTTTCAGGAGTTTTAACCTTGGGTTATATTTCCCTGCTAAGTAATATGTATCATTGTTATCGTATATTGATTGATATTGCTTTGAATCGGCGCCAAATTTTGCAAAATAACATTCAAACGGTAACACTTCGCAGCGATGCGATATTGTTTGTACATCATTTTCGTCTTCGTGCGGCGATTCAAATAAAGCACCCTATAAAGGTTTTTGATAAGGAAATATAAAATTAAAAACTATTTTATAAATTTGTTAATTTTTTTCTTGTAGGATTTCTTTATTTACCGGATATTTTAAGCTAGGACAACCGGTAGTTTCTTCAGGATGATAAAACCACCTGACTCGTACAACTTTATTGCTAGACGTTGTCTCCCACATGGATTCAATACGTCCAATATATGGCCGATCAGGTCTACCCGTTGATAAGAATACTGCACAATCCCCAACCTATAAAATTGAATGGAAAGCAAAAGATTTCAAAATAAGCAGGTCGCACACAACCGGATTTAAGTCATTAATTCCTTCTTATCTCTTAACCCGTTAACTGTGTCGCCCCTTTGGACACTCAATGATGAGGAGTGCAAGCTCGTCATGCACAGACTATATACAATATAAAATTAGATTCTAACGAAATGGCTTGACAAGGATATTGCAAAATTCTTTTTTAAAATACATTGTAATGGCAAATGCATATTCACAATGCCAAAACTTTTTCCACAAATCCGAAAAAGACAGATGGACGTATCACGGCTCTAAATACTCTCCCGCATAACATAAAAATTTTGTACTTTTTTTTATGACGACTATACTCGTCACATACAGTTAACTGGTTAAATGCTTATATATTTCCGCTAGTAAATGAACTAAGATTTAGAGGCATGAGCTTCTACGTCTGTTAGGCAGCAATCTTATCAAGGAATTTGTCCATTTCGTACTTCTTCCAGTCTGTGGCGGGTTTACAAAAAACATTCTTACTCATTCTTCTAGTTTGCAATAAATTTCCCCTTTGACAGTGCGTATCCTAAGCCTAGCTTAATTAAGTAGAGCGCGAGCTTTCAAATTAAACTAAAAAATCAAATCAGTTTGCGAGTATTTCCCAATATCTTCCCACATTCACTTCGAAATTCTTTCCTCAAATAATATTTGCGTTTCTCTATTCCAAGTGACCTTTTCTCAATTTTTTTTCAACGAACGTCATACTATACTTACTGTTATAGTTTCTTTTCCTCTTTTGATTGTTTTATAGAATTGCTTTCGTGCTCTACCCTTGACGCCCGCTTTACGGTAGGCTTTACCTAGCCAACCCCATAATTGACGGTCGGGTAGAAACGCTGCAATTTTACTGCCTTTCGAGTTATTATGTCCCACCGCGTCGTCGCCTTTAGTCTATAGCAGTGAAAACGTTTATTGAAATTGAAAAATTAACATTTTATTTACGTTTTTCTCTTTTTTTTTTTTTTAATTAATAACATTAACAACTATTACCTCATCTGAAATTTCTGACATAAGATTCGAAGTACTTTCATCCTCTTGGTCCATTTCCATATGTTCCGTTTTCACTTTAACCGTAGCCGGTATGGCCGGTGCCGATTCCACTTTTATTGCTGGCACCTCGTGCATTTGAGCGTCCTCTGTAAGCGTATGTTGTTCTTCGGCAAAGTCTTCGGTCTCTTCTTCCTCTTGCTCGTCCTCTTCGTGTGTATCTGGTTGTGACGATTGATTCACACGACTTTCTTCATATTTACTTATGAAGGTAGCTGTGTAGCAGGAGTTTTGCGCCGTCACTTCTGAGGAGATACTAACTTCTATTAAATTTTTGCGATGATGATGTTTTTTATGCTTCTTCCGTTTCTTATGCTTATGATGTTTGCGACTGCACTCTGTAGTAGTTCCGCCCGCGTTCGTGCTCGAATCCAATAGGCCATTATTATTGCCTCCTGTTGATGTCGCAATACAGCCTGTACTATTAACTGCATTTTGCGATTTTTTCTTAAGACTTTTATTGCGCTTCTTTTCACTACGCTTCGCTGCAAATATCTCCATGGCCGAGACATGGTAAATGTCACTGGCTTTAAAATTACTGGCCGATATGCTGACACGTTGTTGCTGCGGATGATGGTACTGATGATGTTCATCATTGTGATGTTGCGTCATCTCAACACCAGCACCACCACCACCACTAACGATCCCTGATTTAGTAGTACTGGATTTCTTTTGTTTGCCTAAAGAGTAGAGGGGATTATCGTTGTACTCTGTGGTTCGTGTTGTTGTATTTATTTGTTTTATTGGTTTTGTTTGTTTGTTTGTTGATAGTAGATTGGATAGGTAGGTGGTACACAAATACACACACAAGAAAGAAATAAAAAAAGACAAAATAAGAATTTCCGCGTCAAAAATCAAATGAAAAATGCTGTTAATTTCCAAATGAAACAGACAAAAAAAATGTGCAGAATGAAATGGAAAATGGATAGAAATGAAAAATATGATATATGTACCAGATAAATTCACTCATAGAGCGATTGACTAACTGAGATCGATAGTTCGATGAATTTTAAGGAGAAATCATGAAATCATATGTTAATGCGTATTAAACCATGCACATGAACGTTCGCAAATAATAGTACTTACCCACTATGGGATAATCACTGAGAAGGAAGCGTATATTTTGTAAGCGGATCCGGCCGCTATCACCGTCATCAAATTCAACACTAACAAATTCTTGCGAAGTAGCACCATCATCGGAAGACTCTGATTCGATTGCTCGACCCGGATATAAACATCGATATTGTTGACTCCAGTACGCACATAAGCGAGTTCCTACGGGTACATTTTCTACACTCTTTGGGGCGACTTCCAAAATCTGTCGAAAATAGAAAGCATAACCTTCAATTCGCTTCCTCTCTCTCTCTCTCTCTCTCTTTCCATCTATCTGTCTATCTATTTCTCTCTCACTATCTCTCCTACAAGCAGCAATACTTACCGTATCATTAAAAATTTCTTCCCGTGACATAATGTGCGATTTGTTGCCACGTTCGCCATCCAACGTTATGGCATAGACATCGGGCGGTTGTAAAGGTTTCATAATACCTGCGTAGAAAAGACCACCCATATCGGTAAGAACTCTTGTCTCTTTACGATACAAATGCTCTTGCGTCAACATTAGAGTATTATCTAAAGGATTCGTCCGCCTTTGTGGGGTCGCTAACGATTGTGCACTTTCATCTTCACTAGCCGCTTTTCTTTGACTTTTATTTCCATCTTGTTCTTCTTCGGTAGACCGTCTCGAACAACTCGAGGCCAATTTGCGTTCTTTACAAGCAATTTGCGGTAACTTTTCGGAGGATGGATGTTTTTGAGCTAAGCGTAAAATAGAACCAGTAGAACGTTGATCCGCCGAGGCAGCTAAGGTACTAGGCTCCAGACGTACTGGTTTATATACAGGAGTAGATGTGTTGCTGTTATTGACGTTGACATGAGAGGTGGTGTCACTTTCTAATTCTAAATCAGGCGGTGGAAATTGAGGATGTGTGGTGAGAAGATGATTTTGAGACTTATTTGAATCCGCAAAGCGTATAAAACTTGAAGATGCTAAATAATTAGAAACGGGAACAGTAGCGTTCGAGGATTTCGTAGAAAATTTTCCAAATTTATAATCACACAATGGCGAAGACGAGAGACCGCCGCTAGATACTGATGAGCTCACCGGAACTACACTATTGCTACCAGTCGCTGCTGCTACAGCTAGAGAAAGCGTTGAGTTGCTAACCAAAGGGACCCCCGGCGACGTTGAAGTTGCTAATTTAGAACATTTTTTTTTCTTTTTACTTTTAGAAATTTCATCGAGTTTACGTTTCTTCTTGCGGTACTGACGGCTGATGTCAGCCAAACGTATTCGCATATTGCTCTCCATAATATTGAAGATCTCTTGTGGCGTCGGCCATTTGTTGACACGTTGATAGCTCGGTTCCACAGCACTTTGGAAGGCGCTTTGTAATTCCTGCTGCAATTGCGGATCATCAAAATCAAGGTCTGCTGTCGAACATTCACCCACCATTAATTTATGACGTTTCTTCTCTTTAGAATATTTCTTTTTATTCTTTTTACCGCAACGTTGCGATTTTTTGCTGCTACTACCATTCGAAGAGGACTTTGAAGACTTGGAATGATGTTTATGTTTCTTACGTTTTACTGGCATCTCCAAAGTGTCACCATTCGAAGGAAAATTTGCACCGTTAGTGGAAGGTAATTCTAGACCCTCCATTGAAGGAAATTTGGAATTTTGACGTTCTATGGCATACGATGACCCACAAGAGTTACTTGGCCCTGTATTAAAACTCGCCTGAGCGAATGAGGTGGAAAAGCTGTGGGGAGAAGAGATTGGTTGCTGAAACATTCCATTAGTGCTGCTGCTGTTAAGCCCACTGCTCTGCACTTCCTCTTCCTCTTGGATGCGCTGTTCAGCTAAAGCGCATAACAATTTTAGGCCTCCTAAAGGTTCGACTACATTGTGAGGAGCTTGATGAGACGGAGGCGGCAAGTTATTATTATCTTGATGAGGTAAAGGATTGGAAAGAGAATGAGGTGATGTGGATGGTGGAAGGAAAGCATGTGATTGTTGCTGCTGTTGACGGTGTTCAGCTTGTTGACAATTTGAATCCATAAGGGACTGATCCGGCACAACATGGCCCGCTGTTCCTTCATGCACATGATCCAAGGGTTCCTGCTTTACCCTTATGGTTCCTGGTTTCACTAAACTGCTGGTACTAATGTTTGATAACAATTCCAAACCAGTCAAATCTTCAGGATTAGTTGACTGAGACGGAGGAAGGGGAGCACTGCTACTACTAATGGGAGGGGTCGGAGGTCGGTTTTCATTGCACTTTTCATCAATTACGGTTGGCTGCTCAGAATTATTCCCTGCTATCTTAGATACCAGCACTTCTGTGCTGACATTCGTAGAGCTTTCTACTTGTGGTGGAGTTTCCAATACTGTCTGACCTTTTATCAATTCTAGTGGTTGTTGAGCATCTGTATCGTGATATATTTCATCCGCTTGGAGCTGCGGTGGTGTACAGTTGCCTGTGGAACAAACCTCGGCTGTTATTGAGGATACTGTTATTTGCTGCTCTTGCTGCTGCTGTTGATGTTGCTGCATAACTAATGGGCAGGTGGAATTTTCATCTTCACTACATACTGGAGTATCCGTTTGTATGTTCACATCTTGCATCTGAGGGGCCGTTATCGTAGGAACGGATGGTAATGTTTGCGTTACGACTCTTGGCACACCAACCACAATTTGTGACGTGGCTTCCAAGTTGGATGTTTTAAAATTAATAGCTGTGTCATCCGCTAATGGTGTGGGTGGACCCACAGTAGTCGTTAAAGTGGATGTTGAGTTTTGATTGCTATTCAAAAAATTAACGTTAGAATTCAGAGATCCCGTTTGCATCGAACCAATATTTGTGTTGGACGTGAGTGTGGTAGGTACCGATGAGTGTGATCCTGTCACTCGGTTTAAAGTAGCGGAAAGATTTAGTAAAGCTGGAGTAGGAGAGGAACCAGCGGTTTGAAAAAGTAACTGAGGTTGCAGATGTTGGGGAGCCGCTGTTGCTGCCACCGCGGCCGATTCCATAGTAGCCGACGTTGGCGGTGTGGGCAAGCGCATCAAATTTAAAGCCTGAGCGGGACTTGATAATTCCAGCAGATTCGTTGTGCTATTGGCCGTAGTAGATAATTTGTCACGGCTTTCAAATGGAGTAGATGCGGAAGGAGGTGGTGGGGGCGCTGCGACAGCTGCCGTAAGTGTGGTGGTTGTAGTTTTTGCTGCCGCCGCCATAAATTCACCAGCACTCCACTCTTCTAATTTCAAAGCAGACGGCGGTATTAAGAGAGGGGGCGGTGGTGCTGGTGGCACTAAAGGAGGCCCTGTTGTCAAAGTAAGAGTTCCCGGCGCTGGTGCTAAAGTTTTCTGATGTGCGGATTTATGATGGCCAATTTCATTTACTGATTGAGCTGTCGCTGCAGAAGCCACACTCATAAAACGTGTAGTCGAAGTCGAACTACTGGACGTGCTCATTGTACTACTACTACCCGAAGGTGTGGCTCCCAGACTCAAATTAATAGAACTACTGGTGCTATTGGTCTGCTGATTGTGCTGACATAGAGTAGAAGTTGCCGCTGCAGCTGCCGCCGCTGCCGCTGCGGCTGTTAAATAATTTGAGCCCAATAATTGCAATGAAGTGGCGTAAGAAGGTGCCGCCGCGGCTGCTTGCAGCGTCGAGTGCGGACTCATTGAAGGAAAAATGAAATTTGGTGGCGGTTGCAACGTGGCCGGTGCCGAACCCTGCGGTATATACGAGGGCCAGACAAAGGCCGCTGCCGCCTGTTGAAATGGATCTGTGGGTGTATATAGAATTGGATAATTTGATAACCCTGTTTTTTTTTTTTGTTTTGTTTTTGCAGTTGTTGCAGTTTTTGTTGTTGTTTTTAAGCGAATTCATTGAATCGAACCAAAGCAATGAAAAATTAACCATAATTTATTTTGGAGTTTATGGATTTGTTTGGTTGATTGGTAATCAAGTGATGTGTGAGTGTTTTTTATATGTGAGAGAGTGTGAAGCGAGAGAGAGAAACGGGAAAGCGGGAAAGAAAAGGGGAATTCAAGCAGATTAGTTAATGCGTTTATAACTTGTTTTGTTTTTTTCAAATTAAAGATGAATAAATAATAAATTGTAAAAATTGAAACAAATAATATAAATAAATTAAAATAAAAATGACAAAGAGTAAGGTGAATGAATTTGCCGACTAACATACCTAAAGGTGTCGCTGTAGCGGGTAATAACACTACTTGACCACGACTTGCCTCGCGAGAGTATTGTAAGCCTACTGTGGCAGGAGACATGGATATCACGGATTCAATGGGAAGTGGACCTGAAGATTATTAAAAAAAAAAAAAATAAGGAAAACTGCTCATAAGTATAAAGAGATAAAATATTAAGACTTATTTGTTATATACTTGAATATTGCCAAAAAGTTGAAGGAGCACGATTAACACTTTGTAGACTGGCCGCACTTATACCCAATTCTTCCGCAGCGGCAGAACCAGTCATTAAATCACCGTTACCAGTAAAGTAAATGTTGCCACAACCGGTGCCAACACCACCTAGATAATAATCAAAAGAAAAATATAAATTCGCATTATTCCTCTCTCTGGTTATGCAATTAAATTTTATGCTGGTAAATGTGCCCAAACAAAGGCAATATCAATTTTTTTCATCCACTACTACATCCCAATACCATTGAATACGAGTATGATTACATGCAAAAAAATGGCGCTTTTTCTCTTTGGGCAAATTTTATATCATACGAAACAACAATAAATCAATAAACATAAAATTCAATTTAAAATATTTGAGAAAAATCCCAATATCAATATCAACAGTAACTGACGAACATATACAGGAAATTTAATTAAAATCTTAAATTATGCAAAATTTTTCAGAGTAAAATGGCAGCTAAAAGTATGCTATCAATAATTTCCAATGCATAATAACAAGGGTGAATTAATTTTACTTTGCAGCACTTTATATATTTACAATAAAATTGTACAATAAAACTTTAATTTTCAATTTATTTCAACAAAAAAACATGAAACTATTTTAAGGGAAAAAAAGGAAAAGCAATTTTTTTTTGTTTTTTTTTCTCAAAAATATTTTACAAACTTTATTGGGCTTCCATGAATATGAAGAAATTTCACAACAATTTTTATGTATTTTCGGCTTAATATTTCTTTTCACATTAAAGTTAACTTTCCAAAGTATTTTCCATATAATTTTCTTTCTCAAATTTGAATGTTTTTCTTCAATTTTTGTTGGATATAAATTTACATACAGCAAAAAATGCAAGAGAACACACATAAATGCACAAACACACATTCAGATATCAACTAGGAAGAAGATATTTTAGAGAGACTTGTACACCACTCGACCGTTTGCCAATATATGTGTATACGAACTAAAATCAGGTGACCTTGAACTATTTTATTAAGCTGCAATTGCATTTGGAAGGGCTTTTTTTTTGTTATTGTTGTTGTTTTTGCTGTTGTTTTTGTTGCTATTATTGCTCATGCTTTTGCTTTTCTTGCAGCTGTCGGTGTTGGCACAAGTACGTGCCCGCGTGTATTGGTATTGGTGTTGATATCCTAGAATTTTTTTTTTTGCGATTGTATGTGTATATATAAATGTATACAATAATTAGTTGAAAACTTTACTTTTAGTCTCCGTTTTCCTGCTGCTTCGCAAACATAAACCAAGTTTACGAACAGTTTGCAAAGCAAAAAAAAAAAAAAAGCAAGAGAATTGAAAGTGAAACCAACGCATACGGAATAATTTACGAAAATCAAAAGATGGGAAACAGATTTTCACGCCATATGAAAAGTATACAATAAATTTTTATATATTAACTAAAAATAAATATATGAAAATCTTCATATGTACTTCCATTGCTAAAATTAAGATATGTCAGACTAATCCCAGAAGTATGCAACTAATTGCATTATTATTTTTTTCCTTTCGCAAATATGTATGTACGAATAAGTTTTTAGAATTTTATTTGTAACTTTAAAGCTTTATTCGAAGAAATTGGTACAATGTATTTTATTGAAGGTATTGCCCATCGACTTTTCTCCATCTTCCAGGTAATTTTCCAATTCCATCCCAAAAAAAACCTCATCTTTTTAGCCTATCCTTAAAAGAACCAGTATATGGTTCTCGTCATAAGATCGACGCACGGTTCAAACAAATAATAAGTCGTCTATTGAAATTGCAAACATTTCTTGAGCAAGATTTTTTATATAGATCCAGATTCCTTCGTATTAAACACTCACGATATAATGAGTTTCATATATATGTATATTACGTTCATTTTTTGGGACAATTGCATCAATTATTGTTATTAACAGTGCTTAATGATAAATTCGTTTTGTTGCAAACACACTTTACTACGCCACGCTCAACCTAACTCCTGAAACGATAGATGTTGACATCTAACCCACGACAGTAGCCTGGCAAACGTTTTTCGCCTCTTGCTTTGTAAAATTTCCATAATTGTCTTTCAACGAGGCAATCCATTTGTCGAAAACTGCTTCGATCGAGTACACTGACTTCAATAAATGCGATTTCTTAGAATAAAAAGCATATCTTTTAAATTAAAAGAAATAAGATACAAAATATTTTGTTGGTTGATATGGGTCCAAGGGGCCTATATGTCAAATTTAAAATGCACTTTAACTTTTCTCTAGTTAATACGACAATTCTAAAACGAAGCCATTGTTGTATAAAAATCAACGAAAATATTCGGGCCCAGAATCAGAATCTGATTTCATTACCACATGAACAAGCGTAACTAAACGGGTAAATATTTCTCTCTACCACTCATCGCTCACCGATTTATAAACTTAATTGCACTTTATAAACAATTTGCAGTGGCTGCTTGTTCGTCTCTCATTTTAAAAATGAAAAATTTTCATAAATATTCCAATTAAAAAATAACTGGAAAACTGACAAAATCAGGTAATGAAATATTTTAAATTTTTATAAAAACAAAAGATTTAATAAACATTTGTAAGAAAATGCAATATGTATTCTAATTTTAAGTTACGAACGATAGGCAACAGTCTCTTTGGTAAAGTAAAGACATGAAAATCGTCTAACCTTTTAAGGATGTCAGTCAATTAACTCACCATGAGAAACATAAGCTAAAAATTCTTTATAACAATGTAAGGAATGCCCCAAGGATACACTTTTATTTGCTATGTGCAGCAACAGAGAATTTTATAATTAAAAGCTTTCGTAGTAAACTTTGACAGTGTATTTATAAGAAATTTAGTTTCAACTCATGTATAAAACGTGTTGCGAAATTTCGTTTCCACTACAAACTATTTATAAGCATGGACGGACAATTATTTTTTTTGATAACAAAACACTTTTGTGGCTTATGTTTGTTTACTTAAGCGGTTGAATGAAGACCAGATAACTAGCCAACGTTCTGATGTTTTTTTTTTTTTTTTTTTTTTTAATCGGAATCTGTGTTGCATACATCTTATATCCTTGAACTTGAGGTGACGTAACAACTGTGTGTTCTTTTCGTATAACATTGAAGCAAGTGTGGAATAAGCCGCTTCTTTTTTTTCCTACGTTTTGTCGAAGAAACTATGTTATAGTGAAGGCATCGCTTCAGCTTTTATGTCCTACCACATTACTTTTGGTATGGATGTATGTAACACTCACGCCGAATCAGGATAAGCCCATCTTTTATTTGAGCGACTGATTCTGCATGATTTTCTGAATAAGCTTTTACGTCTGTCTACCTGCCTGCCTCCAGGTACAAGTCGCAACTTTTGCTTTTGTATGTTGTTTTGGCTCAGGTACGAAGCCTAAGAAAAATGAGTTAAATGAAAGCAATTTTACGATCGCACCCTATATGACACCTTTGCAATAGTATTTCGTTATCGTTAGGAAAGGACAAATATTGTGAACGCTTCCCCCATAACTATTCCCACGAGTACTAATTTCTTATGGCAAGGCAAAAATGTCGAATTGTCGATATATGCTTTAAATTGGTCTGTAATAGTAATTTGCAACTTTGATCTTCGCCTTGTGGCTCTCTTGTCTCGATCTAATACTTTATAAAGGCAAAGATTGCCATTTTGCAAAAAAAAAGTACTTTATGCCGAGATTTGGTTCATAGCAGCAGTTAGCAAAAAAACGAACAGCAGCAAATTTGGACGATGTAAGTGTAAATGTCTAATCGATTTTACCTTAGATAATAGGGGTTCTCATATAGAGTAACCTCTCTCTTAAGGTCTAAACGCTGTAGCTATAAAGGTATTCTCCGTTAACAGTTCACGTTACCAGTTAATACAATCGTACACATTCGAACTGTGATATTGAGAGACAGATGACGCATAAATGCTGAGTATTGTATAAAGATTCGACGTATATGCCGTTTTATAGCGTCCTGAAGTATTTGAGTGATATCATTTGTCGAAGTGCGTGTCGGAAAAGAGTTTCCGCGGATTGCGTTTTCTCTTTCACCTTGAACGATGTAAACGAAAGTCGTTTTTCCATTTTTTCGTTGCTGGGAATGATAAGTGAATTTAGTTGCAGTCCTGCAAACGCAAAAGCAATGACATCGTGCACCATGAGATCCAGTAGGCTTTGGAAGGAAGACGATTCTCTGTGTTTGGTGAGCTCTGAAAAACAACGTAAGCTTATTTTTCCATCGTTGACAAACACATTCGCCTTAAAAGGGAAAAAGAGACGATTCGCGTCTTGTCAGTCTTCCATAGACGTACTCAGCTTATATTTGAGATTGTATGATTTAAGTAAGTGACGCTACTTTTGTTTTTTTCGAAGACATCAAAAAGTGCCCAAAATCATTTTGAAAGAGCAAAGAATTGACGCCGTAATAATAACAGAAGGTAGTGTTTTTAGGATTTTGTATGAACACCTGTGCATGAGGAAGCCTCGTTCGTGATCTTCTCACTTTTATCCAAAAACAACAATGATGATGCGATGATACGAGACACTATTTAGAACCCTTCAGAAAAACGATATTCTTCAAGAGTGACACATTTATTCCAAAGCTTCTCTAGCCATTCGATGTCTTTTTTATAGAACTATTTGTTCAACACTTCGAGATACTCTTGAAGAAGATTATATTGTTGGAGCTTGCATCAAAAAGTTGGCGTTTCGCTAGTGATGTATTATATCAAATCACTTAGGGAATGTCAGTCAAAAGAGGGTGAAAAAAGAGAGGGGTTCGGTAAATCTTATGCCTTTACCGAACAACTACACAAAACTTCAGGACTTTGTTTGCACTTTCTTTCCTCTTCATTAATCATCATTTTACTAATCTGTCTTGAGCATTGCGGACATGACGTTCTTAAGATAATATGCGCGCGTTTAGCAGAATAAAACCATCGCATGTGTTTTTGCGAAAGGAAAAGTTTCATTAGCTCGTACATACATCCTGTGGGTATTTAAAATTCCCATCAAGGGAAATAAACTTTTCCTTGGCATTAAATTCTGTTTAGAAAACATTTATAAATTCTTGCCAAGGATCATTTAATAGTGTTAGTTATTTTTCAACCCACCACCTATG